TATTAGTTGGAAACACTTGGCCAATAGCTCAGAGTTGTTACCAGCTAACTCTTAACATTTAAATTAACCTGTATTTCTCATCTCCGCTCTGCCACATGGCTTGGTACCTTTTCTCAGTATGGCATGCTCATGTTGTTTCTCTTTTTCTCTGCTGAAGACTCCAGGCTCTCCCCTTCTTCCTCCCAGCAGTCTCCTAGTCTGGCTCTCTAGCCCAATCTCTTTCTGCCCAGCTATTGGCCAGTCAGCTTCCTTATTAAATCAATCACAGTGACATATATTCACACAGTGTAAAGGCATATTCCACAGCAGTGTAGCTTGCTCTACTTCTGGGACTCCTAACAATGGGAGCAGGACCTGTCCCTAACACTTTGGCCAGCTCTTGGGAACCTGTTCTTCATACTTCATACAAGGGAAGGTGCTTAGTCTTACCTTACCTTGATATGCCATGATTTGTTGATACCCATGGGAGTCCTGCCCCTTTCTGAACATAAATAGAGGAGAAGTGGATTGGGGCAGAGGAGAAGAGGGAGGGGAAACTTCAGTCGCGATGTAAAATAAATTTTTAAAAAGCCAGGCGGTGGTGGCACATGCAGAGGCAGGTGGATCTCTGAGTTCGAGACCAGCCTGGTCTACAAGAGCTAGTTCCAGGACAGGCTCCAAAACTACAGAGAAACCCTGTCTCAAAAAACCAAAAAAAAAAAAAAGCTGGGCGGTGGTGGTGCACGCCTTTAATCCCAGCACCCAGCACTTGGGAGGCAGAAGCAGGCGGATCTCTGTGAGTTTGAGATCAGCCTGGTCTACAAGAGCTAGTTCCAGGACAGGCTCGAAAAACCAAAGAAAAAAAGAAAGAAAGAAAAAAATCCAAACAAACCAAACACTAAAAAGCAAATTTAAAAAAACCCACTTCTATTTACATCAGTAGCAACTGAGCATTGGCCCAATCATGGTTTAATGGAAAGACTGAGGATTTGGGTCAGAAGATCCATTGTCTCTGACTTTTGGGTCAGACACCTGAGCTTTAGTATCCTCATTTGCAAGATAGAGATGGGAACAAACAATGATATGATGCAAAGAGAGGTTCTTTGCAAATACTAAAATGCCACTGGTGGTTCTCAGGAAAGGCAGAGATGGGTCACTCTGTATCACGGGAAAGAGTTGATGCCGCAGCACAATGGGAAATCACCATTCACTCCAGGGAATGTTTGAGCTGCCCACTTTGAGCAGAGTAGAAGTGGTAGCTGGAAACAGTGGCTAGAATCACATTGACTCAGGCCTTGAATACCAGGCCAGCTGGTCAAGGAAAAGCCAGAAGGAAACAAAATGAATCTGGAGGTGAGTGGGTACTGGGTTAGAATGAAAAGAGCCTGGTAGTTAGAGAGTGCTGTTCTATGAAGGGGAAGGCAGGTCTTGATGAGAGAGGTGAACCTGAGTTGCAAAGCAGATGCTGTCCGGGAGAGCCCACAGTCAGAAGATAGCAGTTCACATCCCAGTTGAACACAGGGTAAGGGAAAATGCATTCAAAATGCCTCCAAGGTTTTCTGTCAGTTGTGACAGAATTTTCATTATGGAGCCTCTTAGGCTAAAGATAGACTCATAAATGTGTTGGGAATTTACATTGAATAAATGAAAAATCAGAAACATCAGAGACTGAAGCTGTAGGTGTAGTTATCAGTTTTGAGGTTGAAACCTGGCCTCATAACGTTTGAGAATGTGTGCCAAGAGTAAAGAGAAACACTGAATGGAGCCTGGGAAATAAATGTTAATATATGATGAGCCGGAAGGAAAGAACAGCAAGTTTTTAGACCTTTATGCATGTCTTCTCCTATTTCTTTAGCCATGAAAAATTCACTTGAATTTACCTTTGTAGGAAACGTATGTGCAAAATTCCTGGATGTTTCTTGAATAACATTGAGAAGTTAAAAGAGTATTCTGGAAGGAATTTCAAGCACAATAAGGAAGAACTGGCTCAGAAAATCTACGCACTACTTAACCACACTGTCTTTGATGGAAAGGTAGAAACAACGAATAAGTTTCTATTGAATACCTCTTGTACACCAGCATGCTTGGCTGCTGTACTAACCATGTCTGCTTCATGTCTTGGAGCTGTGCTAGTTTGAGTAGACCTGGACCACTCCATGGGTAGAAAAGAAAGACTTATTGGGGTCCAAACTGCCAAGGCTCTCTCTCAGAGGGGCAGAGAGAAGCAAAACAGTGGGAAAGCAAGCAGATTTTATGATAGTCAGCAGGTAGGGGTCTTTGTGCTGATATAGGCTGTTCAGATTAATCAGGAACTAGATGCCCTTACCCAATAATCGTCTGTTTACCCAGTTAGTCCTTCTGTTTAGGACATGGTCACCAGCGCAGCTGTATTTGGGGGGGGCACTTTGGACTTAGCAAACATGAGAGAGAATGCTTGTGTGAAAGAGAACTTGTTTTGGTTGTATATATGAGCAGATGGCTATTACAGTAGGAGATTAGCACAGGGAGAATGACTGAAAAGTCTGAGAAGTCAGAAAATAGGATTTCCTGAAAGACATGAGGCTCCTGCTCCTTAAAAAATGGTTTGTACTGAGAACGGCAGCAGGGAAAGGACATGTGATAAGGTAAAGAAGATGATGAGAAGGAGCTGGATGAGTTGCTTAGCCTCCTTTTACCCATGTCTCTTGTAAAATGAGGCCAATAATAGTGCAGTCATCTTTCTGTGCCTGCAGGGAACGGGTTCTGGTACCCCTCAACAAATGGCAAAATCTACAGGTGCTCAAATCTCTTATATAAAATGTCCTCTGCTCATCCTCTGTGTATATTTCTAGCAGATGCATGTTTTTGTCATTTTTTATTATCTGACAGTTTTGTACATTTATGTAATAAATTGTAGTCATTTTTGATCTGCAGTTTGTTGAATCCATGGTACAGAACTCAGGCCCATTCTACTTACTACCTCAGAGTTACTATTAGACTGCAATATTTCCATAATCATAAAGTGCTTAGAACAGGGCCTAGGTACAGCAAGCTCTTGTTGTCTTGTCTTCGATGGCCTTGGCAAGTAGGTTAGGAAAAGTTAAATTTAAATTGGTAGGAACCAGTGCACAGGAATGTGTGACGGGAAGCTACTGCTGAATCCATCTGCCAATAGCTTGGTGGTATGGACTGGATTAGAAAATGCAGAGGTAGGGACCTTCTGGCCACTTGTTTTGCTTGTTTGTTTTGGGCTCTTTTATTTCTTACCATGCTTCCTGCATGTGAGGAAAGCACCCTACCCCTGAGCTGTACCATCACCGGTAGATCGTTTGTTGTTGTTTAATCCAGTGTTACAGTCTTCTGCTGAAGAGGCTTTGTGGAGGGAATTCTTATATCCTGAAGGTCCTGTAGCCTTAAAAATCTCCTTCCTTGTGTCCTGATTAACCTATTAATTGTCATTCCCAGGACTTCAATGTTTAGATTTGTTTTTTATTTGCATAAATTTCTCTTCAGCAACTCAAGAATGTAGGAGACAGTTCCTCTTACTTTGTTTTTATTTTTTGAGAATTTCATATGTGACTACTATCTTTGTGTCATTTCTACCACCCCTGTTCTTCCTATATCTCCACCTCTCAAATTAATGACCTCTTTGTGTGTGTGTAGTATGTGTAAAACCTTTTTTTTTCTTTTTCTTTTTGGTTTTTCGAGACAGGGTTTCTCTGTGGTTTTGGAGCCTGTCCTGGAACTAGCTCTTGTAGACCAGGCTGGTCTCGAACTCACAGAGATCCGCCTGCCTCTGCCTCCCAAGTGCTGGGATTAAAGGCGTGCGCCACCACTGCCCGGCTATGTGTAAAACCTACTGAGTCCATTTAGTGTTGCTCCTATGTGTTTAGAGCAGAGCTCTTGGGATTGTATAGCCGATAAGAGTTCATCACTGGAAAACTGATTATTTCTGCAGGGCAGTTATTACCTGTGGCGTTTCATCTAGGGGTGGTGCCTTGTGAAATTTCCCTCGTCCACATTGGCATGTCCTCTTACTTTTTCTCAGAGGGAGAAAAACTCTTGTTCTTATTTTCTGATATGAGTTGTTTCTAGGGAGATAGCTTAGCAGTTAAGAGCACTTAATGCTCTGGCAACAGACCCAGGTTTGGTTCCCAGCATGCACTTGGAAGCTCGCAACTGCTCTATAACTCCAGATCCAGGGGACCTGACACTCTCTTCTGGTACACATGTGGTACATATAAACTCAGGCTTATACACATACACATACATTTTTAAAAAAAAGTAAACCTTTAGAACTGCTTTCTGATACTTTTGTTTGCTTTTCATTTTCAGTTGCCAGAGAAAATAGAAATCATTTGGAATAAAAAGATGCTACGGACTGCTGGTTTATGCACTACCCATGAGATACAACAACCCAAGAGGCAGCGCTATGCTAAGATTTCAATTTCTCCAAAAGTCTGCGACTCTGCAGGTGATTCCAGGACTATGGTGGATTTACCCTAGCACCCTGTCCTTCTGATCTGTTAAATTACTCATCCCCGGCAACCTGTGTCACAGCTTTGAACTGTCATTTCCATGTGGGTAGGCCTTCTGTATGTTGCTGAGAGGACATCATTATTAGATGTCTCACCTTTCCTAGGAATTCAGTGTAGTTTCCAGGCCCATCTGCACATTTCCTTTGCCAAAGCCAGGTCTCCATTCTCTCAATTGCCAAGGGTCAAGATGCCCGCTCTAGCCAGACAGTTTTTCATTTGTCAAAGTCTGGTGACTTATCCCCTCCTTCTGTTCCCTCAGTTTGTGTGTGTGTGCTACTATGTTGCTTTCCTGCTCAGAGCCTGGTTTTCAAGGCCATGGTAGTCTTCTCCTGCTTCACGGGTTTTATCTGGCTTCTCACTGCTCGCTGCTAGCCCATGGTTTATCCATTCTTTGCCCATTGGCTCTCAAAATGCAGCTCGTGGTTTTGTAGATCCAATCATTACTTACATTTTGTTTGACTTCTCCCGAATGCTCCCACCATATTGGAGACTATAGCCTCACACATGCCGTGTAAGTAGTATGCCATCAAATAGCAGCGACAACAGATTTTTAGAATCAAGTGTTTTGTCTTGTTTCTGATATGGTGTCTTGCTATGTTGTCCAGGCTAGTCTTGAACCCCTGGACTCAAGCAGACCTCTTGTCTCAGCTTTTTGAGTAACTGGAACTACATACAGGTGTCTGCCCCCCAACTCAGCTTTGAATGGCCGCCTTTTGGTAGGGAGGGTGAGGGTACAGGTTAGTGTAGCCTTGGCTGGCCTCATACTATGACCCTGAACTTGTATAGTTCTCTTGCCTCAGCCTTTCAGTGCTGGGATTACAGAAGTGGGCTGCCGGTTTTTTGTTTTTAATTAAAAAATATTTTTTATACAATGTATTTTGATCATGTTCTTTCCCCTCCCCCAACTCTTCCCACCTACCTTTATGTATGTTTGCCTGTGTTCTCTCTCTCTCTCTCAAAAAAAAAAAAAACAAGAAAACAAAAAACTAAAATCAAAACAAAGAAACAAAAAAAATCAGTAAGAAAAAATACTTAAACAAAGCAAAGTTGTTTTGAGATAGGATCTTGTCATATAATGCTAACTGATCTCTAACCCAGGGTCATCCACCTGTTTCATCCTCTCAAGTGCTAGGGTTAAAGGTCATGTATGGACTTAAATAGCCTTTCTAATTCTAAATTTAGTCAGTTGTTAAGAGTCTAGCTCACGGGTGTGGGGAGGGGGGTGAGAAGGCTCAGGGCCATCCAGCCTGCTGATCTGAGTTTCTTCTCCAGGACTTACATAGTCAAAGGGAAGAGCTGACTTCCACAAGTTATCCTCTGGTCTCCACATGCATGTGCATGTATGTGCATGCACACACACACACACACACAATAAATAAATGTAATTAATTTTTTCATAATAGAACCCAGCTCAGATCTCTCTCTTACCCCAAACTTCTGCTCACCAAATCTCATGGCCATACATACCTCCTGAGCCCACCTTTGTCCCAAGCGTGAAGAAAGCAAGCCTCGTCCAGGTACATTTCGAGCAATGTCCCACAAAAGGATGAACATGCTGGAGCTGCTCCCCAAAGACCTGACCACTTAAGAAGCAGTCAAAACCAAAACTAGCTTGTATGTGGGTAGAAATTTGACTCTCCGGATCCTGGGAAGGCAACAATTGCAGCCGACTGTGCTTCTGTGAGACAGCCTTGTGTTTGGTAGGGGTGAAAGTCAAGGGCTTATGGGATAGTAGATCAGAAGAAAATTCATTTTAGTGCTGACAGTTTCTTTTCATTTCTCTCTCAAGATCAAATCCGGGACACCTTGATCCATGAACTATGCCATGCAGCCTCCTGGCTGCTTGATGGCATCCGGGATTCTCATGGTATCTCATGGCAATATTATGCTAAAAAATGCAATTCAGTACACCCAGAACTGCCCAAGGTCACCCGTTGCCATAACTACACAATTCACTACAAGATCTATTATGAATGCATGCTGTGCAAATACAGGTAAGGCCTTTTCAGATTTTTCCCAATTCTTTTGTTATTCCAGCCTCCAATAGCTGTTTGTTTTCTTTTTCTGGTACTGGGAATTGAGCTAAGGGACTCATGGCTGCCAGGCAAACACTACATGGCTCCCCTGCCTGAGCCATATCATCAGCCAGCCCTCTTTTCTTCCTTCTTTCCTTCCTTCCTTCCTTCCTTTCTTTCTTTTTTTTTTTTTTTTTGGTTTTTCGAGACAGGGTTTCTCTGTGGTTTTGGAGCCTGTCCTGGAACTAGCTCTTGTAGACCAGGCTGGTCTCAAACTCACAGAGATCCGCCTGCTTCTGCCTCCCGAGTGCTGGGATTAAAGGCATGCACCATCACCGCCTGGCCTATATGCTAGTCTTGAGCTAGCTTTGTAGCCTTGAACTATGGCAGGACCAAATCGATCTTTAGTAAGTCTATGGACCAATTTAAGGAGTCAAGCTCACTATTTCTTCGTTCTCTTTCTCCATTATCTTCCTGAATTTGAGCTGGCCTGACTCTGCTGCTGCCTGGGGCTCCTCAGAACTCACAGAAAATTGCTTTGAGCATAAAGCTGAGGAGTTGGAGCTGCTGTTGAGGGGTCGTGATTAATTTGTTATTGTGCTGTGGTATCTCCTTTCTCCCCAGGATTGGCCGCTACACCAGATCGCTGAACACTGAACGCTTCATCTGTGCCAGATGCAAAGGGCATCTGGTCTTGCTGCCATTGTTTCGCAAGGATGGAACCCCCATTGTGCCCTATGTGAGACCATTTGCCAAATATGTGCAGGAGAATTATAGAGCCGTGTTTAACGGCACGGCAGGAATCAGCCATGGGAATGTGATGAAAAGACTCAGCAAGGATTATTTTGCCAGTAAACAAAAGGCAAATCCTTAAGGTTTGCCTGGAATATAGTTATGTGAGCCAAATCCTTTACTGGCAAGAAGTTCTAGAAAACTATTTCTGTAAGGTTTTAAGTATTGGGATTTAAATGTGTTTTCTGATTTGTTATTATTGATGATTTTTCTTAATAAAGAGTTCTTTTGCTAACCATACAGCTCTTGACAATACTTGAAGCCCTTTGGATCCACATTGGGTTTTAACTTGGAATGAGTCAGAAGAAAAGGATGTTTCTTGGGAGGGAGAGCAGTGAGAACAGGAGAATATTGTCACAACAGAGTAAGTGGCTCGTAGTGAGTACTCTGCCAGCTTGTTATGCCTCCTCGGGTGTGAGGAGCCAGCCTGCTTCATGAATTCCAGCTGCTCATGGATTTGAGTGAAGCATGCAATCATTCAGAAAATAAATGTTTCCATCTCACATTCCAGCTCTCCTATTCAAGTGCTCGAGCAGACTGCCTATCTCTGGGAGCTATTGAGGGTGTGGATAGGACCCAACATTGTTTTAGTGTATGTACTCCTGTGAATGCCACAGAAAATGCCCACCAACTTGTGGCTTAGAGCAGCACGGATATTCTATTATATTATAATATTTTAGAGTTTGGAAGGTCAAGAGTCTAGGATGAGTCACCTAGATTATGATTAAAGTGTTGACGGGAACTTCTGGAAATCCATTTCTTTTCCAGTACCTAGAGGCCTTCCACAGCCCGTTTCTTGGTTTCTGTTAGGAATTTTTCCTAGTGCGAGCTCTCTGCCAATGCAAAAATCCCAATCAAGCCAAATCACAACAAGCCAAATTAAAAATATCCAGGTTTAATGGGATTCCTGCACTCGCAGGTGGCCACGGGGGGGGGGGGTCGACCGGGAGACCGTGAACATGACCACGGTGTGGGGGGGAGAGACCACCAGGGGACCTTCTGGGGAAGCAGTTTAAGTAGCCTGGAAGAGTGGTCAAGATTTTGGCAGGCTGTCTTGACACTCCTCCAGGGAGGGGTCAAGGCTTGGCAGGCACAAGGACAGGGCCTCCAAAGATGGAGGCCAGAGACCGGGACTTGGGACTTACAGTTTCTTTGAGACAAAACATCTTTTTTACTTTCTGTTCACTTCTAGAGACTTGGGGTCCACTTAGAGAATTCTTGTCTGTGTGTGTGTGTGTGTGTGTGTGTGCGCGCGCGCTTGTCTTGGAACACATATGTACATGTGTATATGCATGTGGAAGCCAGTGACAAACCTTTGGTTTCATTTCCAAGAGCTGTCCACCTTGTTTTTTGAGACAGTGTCTCATGTGGTTGTAGTGCTTTCCAATTCGGCTAGGCTGGCTGACCAGCAAGCTACTGTGTTCTTCCTGTCACCACCCACCCAGGACTGGGGTGATAAGTGCACACCACCATGCTTAACTTTTTTTTTTCTTTTTGGTTTTTCGAGACAGGGTTTCTCTGTGGTTTTGGAGCCTGTCCTGGAACTAGCTCTTGTAGACCAGGCTGGTCTCGAACTCACAGAGATCCGCCTGCCTCTGCCTCCCGAGTGCTGGGATTAAAGGCGTGCGCCACCACCGCCTGGCCATGCTTAACTTTTTATGTGGTTGCTAAGACCAAATTCAGCTCCTTGTACATACATGATTAGTACTTCACAAATTGAGCCCTCTCCCAAGCCCATTATTATCATTATTATTTTTATTATTTATTACTATCTTTGATAGGTCTCATATAGCCTAGGCTGCCCTTGAATTCTTTAAAAAATTTTTTATTACATTTATTGTGGGGGAGGGGCCATGTTTGTGTCATAGCACACATATAAAGTCAGAGGACAAATTTTGGAAGTCAGTTCTCTTCTATCTTGTGGATTCCAGGGATTGAACTCAGCTTGTCAGACTTGGTGACAAGTAACTTTATCTGCTTACCCACCTGGCTCAGCTCCGACCTTGGACGCTATGTAGCCTAGGTAGGTCATTAACTCCCAGTTCTGTCTCTGCCTGCCTTCCAAATACTGGGGATTATAGCATGCACCACTATGACCTGCCAAAATCTAATTTTAAAATCAGTTGGGTCACAGATTAGCGACCTCAGTTCCCCTTTGCCATGTTTGTTGGCTTTTTTTTTTTTTTTTGAGACCGTGTTCCACTGTGTAGCCCTGACTGGCCTGGAAATTACTAGGTAGATCAGGCTGACTTCAGACTCACAGACATCCTCTCGCTTCTGCCTCTCAAATCTGAGATTGCAGGTATATACTACCACACCCTCCTGTTTGGTTGTTGAGACAGGACTTTCCTTATGTCACCCCAGGCTAGTCTCAAACCCACTATGTCTCCCAGGCTAGCTTTGTATTGTTGCTCTTCCTGCCCCAAGTACTTGGATTACAGACATGTACCACCGTGCACAGCTAGTCCCTTTTACCATGTAAAGTGACCTGATCGCATGTTCTGGGGATTAGAGCATGGATGTCTTGAGGGGTCCAGTTTTTGAGGCCTGCTACAAATAATGCTTATCTTTATCAGTGTACCATTACTGATACTTTAATAAGCAGGATATATTATTTTAACATTTTCCTCTTGCTTTTCATTTTGTAGAAGGATGGAGTAGTCTTTGGAGCACCGAGACTAGATGTGACTGTAGGCATATATAGCGTAGGGCAAACTTCCCCAGCTAACTGCTTCCATTCCTTTTCTCCTGGGCTCTAGCATATCTGCAGCTTCAAACAAAGTCCAGCCTGTCACAGAGGGTCATGGCACATCTGTGACTTGCCTGGGAGGACTGATGTGCAGTGGGTAGCCCTGTCACCTGCCATTCTGGAAAGCTCTGGTTATTTTTTTCAATTGTTTTTATTGAGCTATACATTTTTCTCTGCTCCCCTCCCTCCCTCTTCTCACCTCCCCCTCAACCCTCTCCCATGGTCCCCATGCTCCCAATTTACTCAGGAGAGCTTGTCTTTTTCTACTTCCCATGTAGATTAGATCTATGTAAGTCTTTCTTGGGGTCCTCATTGTTGTCTAGGTTCTCTGGGATTGTGGTTTGTGGGCTGGTTTTCTTTGCTTTATGTTTAAAAACCACCTATGAGTAATATGATATTTGTCTTTCTGGGTCTGGGTTACCTCGTTCAATATGATGTTTCTTTCTTTCTTTCTTTCTTTCTTTTTTTTTTTTTTTTTGATTTTCGAGACAGGGTTTCTCTGTAGCTTTTTTGGTTCCTGTCCTGGAACTAGCTCTTGTAGACCAGGCTGGTCTCGAACTCACAGAGATCCGCCTGCCTCTGCCTCCCAAGTGCTGAGATTAAAGGCATGCACCACCCCCACCCATCAATATGATGTTTCTAGATACATCCATTTGCCTGCAAATTTCAAGCTGTCATTATTTTTTTCTGTTGTGTAGTACTCCACTGTGTAAATGTACCACATTTTCCTTATCCATTGCTCTGGTTATTTTTTCCACTTCGCTTTAGACATGGAAAATGCTCCTGTTGACCATTTCTTCTCGGTGGCTATGTGCTAACTACTGCTCGCAAACCATCAGGCTCTGTTGCTGGTGTGTGTGTGTGTGTGTGTGTGTACATGTGTACACGTATGTGAAGGTCAGAGGAGCATATTGGGTGTGCTCTATTGCTCTCCACCGTATTTCTTCATGAACCCGGAGCTCATATCTTCCCCCAACTCCAAGCTGGCAGGCAGCCAACCTACCCCACAGTGTTGAGGTTACAGGCACACTTGGTCATGCCCAGCTTTTTCAAAGGTGTTGGTGGTCTGAACTTGGGTCTTCGTGTTTGCTCGGCAAGCATTCTTCCCAACAGAACCATCTCCTCAGCGCCATTTTCCCCACCTTTTTCCCAAGCCTATTTCTCCCCAGTAAGATCCGGTATTACCCAAATAAGCAATACAAGGTTCTCTGACTGGCCTATGATCCCATTGCCTTATCCCAGGCTATCCTACAGCCTCATCACCATCAGTCCTGTGTAGCTCTGGCTTGCCTGGAACTTTCTCTATAGACCAGGCTGGCCTTGAATTTATGGAGATCCACCTGCTTCTGACTCCCAAACACTGTTCTGTACCACCACATCTGGCGAAGCTAAACCACTTATCAACTCCCCAAAGCATTGCTGTTTTCAGCCTCTCTGCCTCTGCTGCTGCCCTCTCTTCTGCCTAGAAATAAAACACTCCTTCAGTTTCTTACCCCTGGAGATGCCACTTGCCCCTTGAACCTCCAGGAAGCCACCCCAGACAGCTCTTGCCACTAAGCTCAGTCATGGACTCAGCGTGTGCCACCCCTTTGCTTTGTAGCATAGATTTATTGGCATTTGTTCATTTTTACTGCACTTTCCCTGCTGGCCGGAGCTGCTGGGACTCAGGAGTTATGGCTTATTGATGTCTAGTAGCCCCAAAGTGTCCCTAGACTTATTCACTGCCATCACCCAAGCCCATGAGGGTGTCTAGCAGCTTTATACTAAGACAACAGGGGGTCCAGCAGAGGGCACAGCAGTTAGCAGCAGGTGACATGGAAGGAGCAGTACAAGCTTACGTCTCTGCTCTTCAGTACAATCCTGTAAGTAAAAGTTTATCAGTTGTTTTCCTTTTACAGCAATCCAGCAAACAAGCAAACATCGTTTGATACTTTAGACAATAGGTTTTTTTTATGAAAGAAAATCAATAGTTGAGATGTTTAATATGTTTATGCACTTGAAATGATGAAATTGGTTTTACTTGGTCTGCATAAAGGTCTGCCCTATTTAAAAAGTTATTTAAATAGCATAAAATTATCCTTACCAAAAAACTCCCATCAATTCTTTTGGTAATACTAATAAAGCACAAGACACATGTTTTTTTTTGTGCTATTTTAGTGAACTTTGGGAAAATTCTGATGGGTATTTATAACAATTCTTGATTTTCAAGGAATGATGGGTTAAAGATCTTAATTTGTAGTATAAAATGGTTTTTAAAAGTTGTTGCTAGTATATTAGTGACATGAAAACTAGAGTACAGAATGATCTCAATATAGCCCCTCCCTCGATCAAGTTAGAAGTAGTAGAATTAAGGCAATTGCATGTTCAGACTAGACTTTGCATTAGTTCTTTAATTCTTTGTTGATTTGAGTTGCATATGTTTTCAGGGAGCAAGTGTATCCTGGTTGACAGACATTAAGTTTATACTGTATTACAGTCTGGGAACTTTCAAAATGCAGAACAAAAAAATTTTAAGTAAAATACAGGGATGTAACACATGCCCTGGAAACTGTTAATGTAATTAAGGGAAAGTGGCTATAAACTTTTAAGAGATAAGTGTTAGGGATGGGGTGGGTCTTGGCAGCATCAGCATATACTTGAGCTCCATCAACATTGACTTTGCAACCACCCTGGGGAAGCGCTTAATGATTAACTCCTACTGTTGCCATTATCGAAAGTCTTCTATAGGCTCAGACACTGCTGCTTCAGATAAGTCTTTCTGAATCTTTACCATGATCCTTTTCACGAAGAGGACAGTGTTTCCAGTTTTACCAATATAAAAACCCCAACAGACTCAGGGTTATGTAATTTTCTTGAGATCACGTAGCTAGCAATGGCGAACTGGATGTTGAAACTTAAAGTTGAATTTTTTTTTTTTTTCGAGACAGGGTTTCTCTGTAGCTTTGGAGCCTGTCCTGGAACTAGCTCTTGTAGACCAGGCTGGCCTCGAACTCACAGAGATCCGCCTGCCTCTGCCTCCTAAGTGCTGGGATTCAAGACGTGTGCCACCACCGCCCGGCTTAAAGTTGAATTATTGAAGCAAATGTTGACATGAACAAGAAATGAAATCTGAAAAGGACCTTCTGTGGCCAAAGGCTGCCCTTGTGCACAGCCTGGAAATCATTTTGCATTATCTGCCTGGCTCTTAACTCCAGTTTTATAAAATAAGCAAATTGAAGCTTATTTTAGTAGTTTGCCAAAGCTTTCTAACTATTTTCCATCATAATATCTTTTAAACAGTTTTTTCCCCCCAGAGACAGGGTTTTTCTATGTAACAGTCCTGGCTGTCCTGGAATTCCTGTGGACCAGGCTGGCCTTGAACTCACAGAGATCCATAGCCTCTGTGCTCGGATTAAAGGCGTGTGCTAACACCACCCGGTTTAAACAATTTTTTTTTATATTTATTTATTTATTATGGATACAATATTCTGTTTGCATATATGCCTGCTAGAAGAGGACACCAGACCTCATTACAGATGGTTGTGAGCCACCATGTGGTTGCTGGGAATCGAACTCGGGTCCTTTGGAAGAGCATGCAATGCTCTTAACCGCTGAGCCATCTCTCCAGCCCCCGGTTTAAACAATTTTAAAGTTAATTTTGAAAGTTTAAATTTTTCTTTTAGTTTTTAAAAAAGATTAAAAAACCCACTATATGTAATGGCTGTTTTAACTGTTCATTTCGATGTATAGAGTTTGGATCTGGGCCAGTTGCTCATTGGAATGACTACCTTAGCTTAGCTACATGTTGCTTTTAATTTGTGAGTTCATTATAATAAATGATTTTTATTCATTCTATTTTTAATCTAGCGAGAAATTACATAGGCTTGCAGATAATGAAAGTAATTTCTTAGGGTTTATTTAACTTTTATTTTATGTGCATTGGTGTGAAGGTGTCAGATCCCCTGCAACTGGATCTTTAGATAGTTGTGACCTGCCATGTGGGTGCTGGGGATTGAACCCGGGTCCTCTGGAAGAGCAGTCATTGCTCTTAACCACTGAGCCATCTCTCTAGCCCCATGAAAGTAATTTCTTACATATTCTTTCAGAGGTACTCAATGCATATTTGAAATTAAAGTGAAGCCAGGCGGTGGTAGTGCATGGCTTTAATCTCTGCACTCAGGAGGTAGAGGCAGGTGGATCTTTGTGAGTTCAAATTCGAGGCCAGCCTGGTCTGCAGAGTGAGTTCCACGCTAGGGCTGTTACACAGAGAAACCCTGTCTAAAAAACCAAAAAAAAAAAAGAAGAAAAAAAGAAATTAGAGTGCATTTGTAATTTTTATTGCAGTCCTATCTAGTTACTAACAGTTTTAGGCGGCTAACCTTGAAAGGTCTACCTGCAAGGCTTGAACTTGATTCTTCTAAGGGCCAGGATAGTACATTCTTTTCCTTCAGTAATTAGGGCTAGGTTTATCCTTTACTTGCTGACTTGTAAATTTAGTTTGTCTCTCTAGCATACTTGTAATCTTGGTTAATTTTGTTAATTTATTTTGACATTGGGTCTTGTGTAGCCTAGGCTGGCCTCTAACTCATTAAGTAGCTGAGGATGACCTTCAACTTCTGATTTTCCTGCCCCACTTTCCCAGTGCTGAGATTATATTATAGGATGTCCCACTATGCCCAGTTTATGTAGTACTGTAGATAGAAACCAGACATTGTGCATGGTAGATAAGCACTCTTCACCTAAGCTAGATCCCCAGCCCTGGCTCAGGTTTTTAGTTGTTTGTATGTGTAGTAGGGCGTTACCTCTGCAGACAGTATATCACAGCATTATATTGTGAAAGGAAAATTAAAATGATAGACAAAGCTGTGCTACTATCTAAATATATACTGTGCATAGTTTGTATTGTTAAATGTCTAACCTATTAACAGGAAACTTAGCATCATGTACTTTCAAAGCAAGATAGCACTAAAACAATGAATTTACTTCTTAATGACATTGGTGTGTTCCCACCTGGCTCTCTTTTTTGTAGGAGGAGGTGCTACTTTCTCTTTTTCTTCTTTTGGTTTTTCAAGATAGGGTTTCTCTGTCCTGGAACTCGCTCTTGTAGACCAGGCTGGCTTCAAACTCAGAGATCCACCTGCCTCTACCTCCTGAGTGCTGGGATAAAAGGCGTGCATCACCACTGCCCTGCCAGGAGCTTTGAGATAGAGCTGCTTTATATTTTTCTATTTGGAGCTGCCTTCTGTAATGTTATATGGCTTAATACATTTGCTGAAACTTTAGCTTGTCATTTTTTTTTTTTTGGTTTTTCGAGACAGGGTTTCTCTGTGGTTTTGGAGCCTGTCCTGGAACTAGCTCTTGTAGACCAGGCTGGTCTCGAACTCACAGAGATCCGCCTGCCTCTGCCTCCCGAGTGCTGGGATTAAAGGCGTGCGCCACCACCGCCCGGCTTAGCTTGTCATATTTTAAGGTGCTATTTCTTCTGGTGTTCTTTCTCATGTTGCTTGTTAGAATTACCCATACTTGGCAATCCCTTTACAAATTATGCATACAGTACTCCTTTGTGTGATAGCTGTGAGCCTGAGTGCGAAATTGTTGAGAAGTTGTTTTCTGCTTGAATGGTAGATGATAACACAGTGCTGAGAGTGGCTGACATCCCATCATGTGTTACTGTCATGTTGATTTTGTTGTTTTGAGAGTCCCAGATAGCTGAAGTATGAGAAAACCTTCCGTTTCTATCTACTTCTCTCCACTCTGCTTTTTGTTAAGGTTGTCTGGCAAGGGTCACATTTAAATATTCAAGTGCTTATTGTTGTGTCCAGTGCTGGGTGAGGAGATGGGGAATGTGTTCTGGAGGGGTTATCATGAGACAGACCTGATCCATAAAGGAAAAAGATGTAAGCTCCTCGGGTGATTATTGTTGGAGAGTATTAATCAGAAGACTCTCTTGAGAGGGTGCTTAGGTCCTCAGCATTCTGTAGGAAGGTAAACAGCAAGTAGACTTCCCAGACTGAAGTGGTGAGTCAAGTAGTAGTGAGGAGTGAGTGGAGCAGGGCAGAGTCAATTGGAAGATTTCAGAAGAATAGAGGCTGTGGAGTTTGAAGTTAGTTTGAGAGGCAGTTGAGAACCACTGTAGGTTTTTCTTGGCCTGATTTTCCTCAATGTGTGCATATGTAGAGTGATGTCAAGGGGGTCCAGAGGTGGAACATTAAGAGGAAAGTCAGGAAGCAGTTGTTAGACTAGGAGAGGAGGGATGGTTACATAGGAACACCTTTTTGTTCCTTTAATCGTACTGTGTTTTCCTTGTTTTTGATGCCCTATTCCTTTATTAAGTCTCTATTCATCTATGAAGGCCCAGCTTAAAATCTGTCCTTTGAGTGTGTATGTCTAATTTATTTTTCTTGGTTTTAGGTCTATTATTAAGTTAATGTTTCCATAAGTATTAATTAGGGATGAACAGAGGAGTAAGGTTTAAACAAAGTAATTCTCTTAGATACCATTTTGATTTGACATGAAGCAGAATTTGACACAAGGTTTTGAATGGACTTTTGTAGAATTGTAGTGTTCTTATACTTTGTAGACATTTAAGTAATTTTTTTTTTTTTTGGTTTTTCAAGACAGGGTTTCTCTGTGGCTTTGGAGCCTGTCCTGGAACTAGCTCTTGTAGACCAGGCTGGTCTCGAACTCACAGAGATCCACCTGCCTCTGCCTCCCGAGTGCTGGGATTAAAGGCGTGCGCCACCATCGCCCGGCGACATTTAAGTAATCTTATGTGTATTCATGTGTGTGTAGATTTGGATCTCATGATTTTGTTTATTTTATTATTTTGGTGTTTTAAATGTTGTTGTTATGTATCTGTGTTGTTGTATCTGTGCACATGGAGGCCCGGAGGAGGTGTCAGATCCCCTGGAGCTGAAGTTATAGACAGCTTACAGTACTAGGAATTGAACTCAAGTCCTCTAGAAGAGTAGCATGTTAATGGTTAAGTAGCTCTTAACCATTTCTCCAGCCCTATTTTGGCATTTTTGAGACTGAGTCTCACTTAGTCTAGGCTGACCTTGAACTGACTGAGTAGCTGAGAATGACCTTGAATTCTTGATTATCTTGCTCCCACCTCCCAAGTGGGAGCACTTGCCACCATGCCACTTGACATGTGCCACCATGCCAGCTGAAAGTTGTTGCGTTTGTGTTTGTGGTACTAGGTACGCAAGGCCTTGTTGTATCCCGGGCAAGTGGAGCTCTACTTTCAGCCACTCTACTAGTCCACTTAATAGGATATGTTTTGCCTTTTGCTAAAGTGGACTAATTATTTCACTGTAATCTTGAAGGTATTTATATTATCATTTTCTGGAGATCAAACCTAGGGCTTTTGACATACTGGCTAATTTTTTTCTACCAACTGACCTACATTGCCAGTCTATAAGATAATGATGAATCTAGATGATATAACTAAATATAGTCATGCATCTAAGAGTTCATGGAAACTAGCTGGTAAAATTATGTAATGGTGGGTAAAAATATATAGGTGGGGCAGGAGAGATGGCTCAGGTCTTCCAGAGGACCCAATTTCAAATTCCAGTACCAATGTCAGGCAGTTCACAGCCACCTGTAACTCCAGCTCCAGGAGAATGCAATAAGCCTCTAGGCTCTGAAGGTACCTGCACTGATGTGCACACCCCATATTTGAAATTAAAAATAATAAAAACATATCTTTAAAAATGCAGCTTTTAGTCAGTTATTGTGTTTCTGATTTGTGGCTTAGAACAGCCATTGAAATTGGTGAAGGTCTAAAGATACATACCACCCACTAAAAAATGGTAGAGGGAGCTTGGGTAAGCAGATTAGGTTTTTCAGACATAGCCCATCAGACAGAGGGCTACCTTGTTAAGGTTCAGAGGAGGAAACCTATACAAAGTAGATAGCAAGATTATAGAATTCATTATTTCTCAAAATACAAATAGTATTCCAAAGTACTTAGACTAATTACAGAAGGCGATTAGTCGGTAATAAGATTATTGGTACCTGTGAATTGTTTTTCTGTTTTGCTTTTTTATTTATTCATGCACTATTTATCCATTCATTCATTCATTCATTCATTCATCATCAGAGTCTTGATTCTGTAGTAAAGGTTGGTCTAGAACTCCCTATGATATAACTGGGGTGGGGTTGGGCACCTGAATTTAGGACCATCTTCCTGCCTCAGTTTCCCAGGTGCTAGGATTACAGGTGTGTGTTACTGTGCCTGCTACATGAGAGGCTTTGAGGATTACTATCAGCCTGTGCTTAAGGCCACTAGAAGATAACCATACTTTTCCAAAGCATCAGTCACTGATTGAGGGACAGCACTAACTCAAGTAGATCGTGGAATTGTCCCAGTTTAGCCAGTCATTACCTTATTGGCAGACCTTTCAGTTCATCCAGTGAATGCCAGTAAACAATACAGAGTCAGTTTATCAGTAAAACTAACTACTAATTCTGGAAACCAATATACATGGTAATTCTTTGGAATATTTAATAAAATTTTACTTTGTAGGATTTAATTTAAGGTTCTTTCACCCACATAACAGTTTGGGATGATAAACGTGACTCATATTGCCATTATCTCTGCTTGTTATTGACTGATAGATTCTTTTTTTTTTTTGCAGGGTGAGGTTGAATGTTTATTCAGGGGGTTATGGAGGAGGAAGGGTGAAGGGGGGGGACAGAAAGGGAGAGGGAGGGAGAGAGGGAGAGAGAGAGAGAGAGAGAGAAGAGGAGAAAGAGACAGAAGGGGAGAAGCAGAGAAGTGGGGAGAGAGGCAGAAGCAAAGCTGCCTCTCCGAGAGGAAGATGGAAAAGAGGACTGATAGATTTTTTTTTTTAAGTTTTTTTTTTCGAGACAGGGTTTCTCTGTGGTTTTGGAGCCTGTCCTGGAACTAGCTCTTGTAGACCAGGCTGGTCTCGAACTCACAAAGATCCGCCTGCCTCTGCCTCCCAAGTGCTGGGATTAAAGGCGTGCGCCACCACTGCCCGGCGACTGATAGATTCTTACTGTCTGTTGAGCATGTCCTCCTGCTGAATGGACTGGTGAGTCGGACTAGCAGCACAGTTGAGCTGCTAATAAAACGCAGAGTCAGCCGCTTTTCATTACTCGCCCACTCAGCTCTGATGGTACTTAATACTAATGAGTAATGTAGTGGCAGGTGCAGGACTGAGGCTATGGTTGGATGGTAATCCTTCTGCCTAGGCATGAAATGAAATCAAGGTTTCTAAATAAGCCTGAGAGCCAAAGGGTAGGTTTGTTGACATGTAATCACTTGCTAAGTGCAGTGCTGTTTTTCCTGCTGTGGAAAATTTCTGGTCCTTGATACAGGAATGATTCATCATAACCTTGAATAAAACAGTTGAATAAATATTCAATCATTTTTTCCTACGGGTGACATTTGGAGAGGAGAGAGGCTCTAGAAAGGTCTTGTAGTCTTGTGTTTGAAACTGATGAGGCCAAATGCATTTGAAAGAATGTTAGACAATAGTGTCACAGATCTCCCAGCCAGAACTGGAGCAGCAGCTGATAGCAAAACACATATTTTTGCAGTCAAAGATAGTATTCAGACTTAGGAAGAGCAATAAATTATGTAAATATCTTATAAGTTCTGGTTGGATTTGTCCCCCTCGGGCTCCTTTTGTATTTTCTGGGAATTAGAATAGGAGGAGTTGGGAGCCTGTGCTTAAGTTTAAGTGCTGCATTAAACTGACAAGAAAATGGCAGCGCTAGATGTGTAGAAGTGATGTTGGGATTTTGTTTTTTTTTTTTTTGAGAAAACAATATAATTAATACTACTATCTCTGGGTTTATAGGATTTGTACTGTGTTCGTAGTGACCTGGGGAACCTGCTCAAAGCCCTGGGTCGCTTGGAAGAAGCCAAGGTAGGTGTTTGCTAGAACATACTTAAGCATTAGTTTTGAAAACCTGTACCTTTTGCCAAGTCTTCAACTCTTCATTAAGCTATCTTCATAAAATAGTCCTATGAAACTGAGGAAAACGTCAGCATGACTTGCCTCAGACTAGAGCAGGACCAGGCTTTGGCATATCTGTTCTAAATCTGGGGGTAAAGCAAGAACATGAGCATTGTGGAGCCTTCTGCTGAGCTAGATCATCTTTATAACAATGGGCTCCATCATGACCTATGTGGGAATCAATAACATTCCTTCAAATCTGAGGCTTGCCTGCTAGTGATTTTTGGCTCAAGACGCCTATATAATGCAGGTGCCATTGAAAACGCTGCTCTTCTAAGTCCTTTGTGGCTTGTAAGTGGAGAAGAATTTCATCCAATGTTACCCTGTAATACTGGCATTTAAAATTCTTATTTAACCTTCCTCCCTTCATCTTCCTCACCCTTTTTACAGTGGAAGAAAGGCTGTTAAAATATTGCAAATTAATAATTGGAACTCCTGCTCCTCTTGTCTCCACTTCCTCCCCAAATTCCTCCTTTTTCCCCAATCCTAGTTGTCTACCTTCTTTTTCTTCCTCACTTCCTTCTTTTATCCCTCCCCACCCACCTCCTTAAAAAAAAATGAGGACAAAGCTGGTTTGTTTGGAAATGGACTGATCGAAAGAAAACTTGCCAAAGTGGAAAGGTGGCTTTTAGCATTCTGTGTTTCCAAATAATGAATTTGAACTCTAGGTTGGGTTAATTAAAGCTTTTGGTATAATTTACAATTAAATTTATAAATGCAGTTGTCTTGTTACAAGCCACCTTACGCAATCGCGCTGCAGGGGTGAGGAGTGGGGAGAAACCAGAATGCTTCTGAAACTCCCACCTGTTGCTCTGAGCCCCACGCGCATGCTAATGCGTGGAGTGTATGCGCAGCGTAGCTGTCTGTTTGTTCATCCAGGGAGGGAGAAGGCTTTGCAGCACCACTTAATGTTAAAAGCACTAGTTTTAAGTGCAAAAATTCTACCAACACTATGGATTAACCTTATGTAGGTTTCCAGCTGATTAACTATGTTGATTTCAATCTTAGCTGATAAAGCAATTGGTAATTTCTAGAACAAATATCTGATATGCTCCTATCAATTGTCACTCCACCAAGCGGACAGCTAACATGAATTGCACTTCACTGCAGCTTTAGACATCGATTTAGGCTGAGACGTTGCGCCTGCCTTAGGTTGCTGACTTCTTTATTTCAGAGCTCTGGAGACACCTAGTTTGAAAAATGTCATTCTGGTTTTTTTTTTTTTTTGGTTTTTATTTTTGTTTTTGTTTTTTGTTTTTTTTTTTTGTGAGAACTTAGTAAACCAGAAAATACTCTTGAGTGAAATGCAATGTGTTTCTTTTGTAATCAGTGCATTTGAAAATTCAAGCCAGCATACATTCCTAGTAGATGGCAGCAAAATTAAGTTGTCTTTGTAGAAAATGAAGAGCCTTTCTTCCAGCAAAAATCCCTGCTGTATGCAATAGCCCTGATTAACCCTCTCCCTTCTGCATGTTTCCCATGTTACAGACTTGAGACTGTCCTCATTCCCATATGTAATAGACATCCAAAGAATTTCAATTGCTTTGTTGAACTTTTACTAATGATCTTGTTTTTATTTTCTCTCTTGTTTTTGGTTTTTCACCATTGATATTGTATTTAGAAGGTTTCAGGTGGGTGAAACCTCCTATTCCATGCGTAAGGTGCCTCGCTGAAGGGAGCTCGAGGCCTGGATCTAGGGCAGACACACAACCTCCTCCTCCTCCTCTTCCAGCAAGGAACGCACCGAAAAGTCACATGATGAGAAATATGGTAACGGGTTTGTAACTGCCACAGCAAAACAATTTGCCTCCATGCCTGAATCTTCTGTCTTGTGGCTTCAGAAACAGCTTAAAATAATTTTATTTACAAGTTATGTAAAAGAATGTTTTATACTATAGCCACAATTCTGTCAAAAATAAGTAAAACTTAATTAAGATAATAAAATTATTAGATAATTTACTAGTAAAAGCTTCTAACTCTTCTTGTTGTTCATTTTTTTTCCTTTTTCTTCTTTGTTTGGATTGCAGCATTCTGCTCTTCTGATGATGCGCTGTGACCCTGCAGTAGCGCAAAGGCTGCGCAGCGTTAATGCGCATTGCGTGCGAATGAGCCCCTGTGAACGGTTGACTAGATGAGTAATCTGATTGACTGGCTCTCTCAGTCCTATTCTGTAGCCTTTTTGGATAAAATTGGGTTTTAACATACCTCGAGTCCAACTAATCTCATTAAGCAAATATTCTCTACGGGCCTGTCTAGTAGATTAATGGATCTGGTTGGCCGTTTGCTGCGTCTAGGGGTGTTCCATGGAGCGCAGCAGTTCGCAGCGTTTGCGCAGTGCGATGCTGTTAGGTGGCGCCAGCGATGTTTGCGCTTGCATTACAGGGACCTCAACCTAGGTGCATTCCTGTCATGTGAGGTTTTATTTTCTTCCTCCTCAGAAGAGAGGCATGTGCTGTGAGTCTGCAGATTCTGAAACTTGAAGTCTGAATGATGACTGACTTGGCAGAAACATTTTTGTATGGCTCAGTAGCTTAATTTTAATCTTAAGGAAGGAGAACATTATGTTGTGAGAAGCATTTCCGTCAACTCTTTTGGTTTCCTAATGCTTGATTAGAGGTTGAAGGCTTTGGGAAGTTATCTAGGAAACTTTTTGTTGTTTGCTTTGTCTCCTCCCCCACCCTCCAACTCACTTTGTAGCTGAGGATGATCTCAAGTTTATGATCTCCTGCCTCCATCTTCCGAGTGCTCAGATTACAGGCCTGTGCCCCCCATATCCAGTTTAAGAAACCTGTTTTCTATTTTCCTGTTATTTGATTATAAAATTGGGTGCCTTTTTTGGTGTTGCTTTTTTCTGTGATATGTCTTAGCATTTCACAGAACACATTTTGGGAAATGTGGGTTGGGGAAGCCTAGATTTCATGGTGCCCTGTCAAGTATCATCAGTCTCTAGAGCCCATAGGTGTTCAGATAAGAGGAGTATAGCGTTAGTGTTTAGCAGCACCCAACCTCCCAGATGAGTCCTATTATGAGGATTACTCTTTGGTTGGCAGAACTGAACATGGTGGTTTGCACTTGGGTTCTGGTGGCGCAGGCGCAGGAGCAGCCAGCTGTGGCAGCGCATTAGTTTTGGCGCAAGCGAGCCTATGCTGCAGGGTCACTTTTGGCTGGTCAGGGAAGAAATAATGATATCACCTTCTTCCCCCTCCCCAATCTTTTTTTTTCCCCTTTACAAATTTCCCCCTTTCCCCTTATCTCCTTCCCTTCTCGTCTTCTTTCATTAAACCCTCCTAAGGCATGTTATTTGAAAGCAATTGAGACGCAACCAAACTTTGCAGTAGCTTGGAGTAATCTCGGCTGTGTTTTCAATGCACAAGGGGAGATTTGGCTAGCAATTCATCACTTTGAAAAGGTTAGTCATTAATAATTGATATTTATAAAATGTTTATGTGTACAGAATGTTCTTACTAGAATAAAACAGTAGGCATTTGCTTAAGCAGCTGTGTAATATTGTTTCCTTGATAGTATTGCAGCATTTGCAGGTGGCATATAATATGACAGGTTTTTGAGATTTATATTGAAAATGCTTTTTTATTTATTATAATTTTTTTTCTTTTGAGAGTGGGTTTCACTCTGTATAGAATGGCTTGGAATTTACTTTGTGTCTCAGGTTGGCCTTCAACCTAGTGGCAGTCCTTAAGCCTCCTGAGTGCACAAGTGAACTACCACATCTGGCTTTAAAATGACTCTGTTTTTCCTCAGAGTGAAGCGATAGTACGGCTTATAGAGGGATGTTTGCCACATGAGGGAGAATACTGGAGGGTTCAGAGTATCCTGCTGAAAAAGCTGTTTCCAAGTCTAGAATAGGACACACTGCAGCATTGTCTGGAATAACTTGTCATACCAGAAGGCAAGGAAGTATCTATTCACTTATTCATACACTTGACTTTCTCTTTTTTTCCGAGACAGGGTTTCTCCATGTAGCTTTGGAGCCTGTCCTAGAACTCGCTCTGTAGACCAAGCTGGCCTCCAACTCACAGAGATCTACCTATCTCTGCTTCCCAAGTGCTGGGATTAAAGATGTGTGCCACCACTACCTGGCTATCTTTATTTATTTATTTTTTTTTTAAAAAGGGCCCAATAGCTAAGTAAGGCTTTCAGTTTAACTCTTTAAAGACTCATTTACTTTTATGTGTGTGAGTGGAAGTATGTCTGTCACCATGTGTGTGTGCACTGCAGAGGCACTAGAGCTGGAGTTACAGATTGTGATCCACCATGTGGGTGCTGTGAGCTGAAACAGGGTTGGTTTTTTTTTGGGGGGGGTGTTTCGAGACAGGATTTCTCTGTAGCTTTGGAACCTGCCCTTGGAACTATAGTCTTTGAGAAGCTAACTTAATAGCTAAGGGGTTTAAGAGCATTAGCTGTTGTTCCAGAGGGTCCAGGTTCGATTATCAACACCCACATGGTAGTATATGACCTCTTGTAACTCCAGTTTCAGGGGATCTGAAGCCCTCTCTGTCTTCTGAGGGTACCAAGCACACATGTAAGTAGAAGAGATACATGCAGACAAAACACCCATACATATTAAAAAAAAAAAAAAGTTGAGCTGGTCTTAGTGGCACATGCCTTTAATCCTGCAGAGGCAGGCAGATTTCTATGAGTTCGAATCTACCCTAGTCTACATAGTGAGTTCCAGGACAACCAGAGTCACATAGTGAGACCCTGTCTCTATAAAACAAAAACAAGAAACGAACCAACTAACCAAAAAAAGTTTCTAGGATATGTATGGAGCAGATAGACATGTTAAAAGATAGCTGAGGGGTTTCATCAGCAAAAATGTCAACTATGAGCTGATAGGACACTGATCTGAGTTTTCTTTTCAGCAAGGTGCAGGACTAAAAGATGTAAATTAAATCTGGATGATTGAAAGAGATAGGTACTTCTTTTAGTACATTGCCTACTGCTCTTGTTACATTATTCTAAATAAAGTTGCTTTTATTCTTTTTTTGTTTCTTTTGAGACAGGGTTTCTCTGTAGCTTTGCAGCCTGTCCTGGAACTTGCTTTGTAGACCAGGCTGGCCTTGAACTCACAGAGATCCACCTGTCTCAGCCTCCCAAGTACTGGGATCAAAGACCTGTGCTACCACCACGCAGCTGGCTGCTTTTTTGTTTTTACAATTTTTTTTTTCGAGACAGGGTTTTTCTGCAGCTTTTGGAGCCTGTCCTGGAACTAGCTCTTGTAGATCAGGCTGGCCTTGAACTCACAGAGATCCGCCTGCCTCTGCCTCCCTAGTATTGGGATTAGAGGTGTGCGCCACCACTGCCCGACAAAATTTTGGTGTTTTTTTTTTTTTTTCCCCCGAGGCAGGGTTTCTCTGTGGTTTTGGAGCCTGTCCTGGAACTAGCTCTTGTAGACCAGGCTGGTCTTGAACTCACAGAGATCCGCCTGCCTCTGCCTCCTGAGTGCTGGGATTAAAGGCGTGCGCCCCCCCCCCCACTGTCCGGCCTACAAAAAGATTCATTTGGCGATGTATTTGTGTACTTGCCTGCACATGTGTGCAGATAACTCATGGAGGCTAGACGAGGGTGTGGGATCCCCTGGCTGGAGTTAATAAGCTCTTGTGTGCCACCTGACATGGGTCATGGGAACCAAACTCAGTTCTCTGAAAGACCAACAAGCATCCTTAACCATTGACCTATCTCCCTATGTTTTCTTTTTTGTAAGCATTTAAAAAAATATCCAGGTGCCACATGACTTTAGTCCAAGCATTCAGAAGGCAGAGGCAATCATCTCTGTGAGTTCAGGTATATGTATAGTCCTGTCTTTAATCCCAGCTCCAGAGAGGAATTTAAAATGGGAGGAGACAGCTCTCACACACAATCTCATTCTGAGATTCCTGGAGGCAGGATTGCCATTTTCAGACTGAGGTAGAGATGAATGCCAGTGGCTGGCTGTTTAGCTTTTTTTTTTTTTAATGGTTTTGGAGACAGGGTTTTGCTGTAGTTTTAGAGCCTGCCTTGGAACTAGCTCTTGTAGGCCAGGCTAGCCTTGAACTCACAGAAATATGCCTGCCTCTGCCTCCCAAATGCTGGGATTAAAGGCGTGTGCCACCACCACCTGGCTCTGTTTTGCTTTTCTAATCTTCAGGGTGAACCCTATTAGCACTCTCTCTCTCTCTTTTAAATTAATCATGCTGCAGACAGGGTTTCTTTGAGTAGTCTTGGCTATCCTAGAACTAAGTTCTGTCGACCAGGCTGGCCTCTGAGTACTGGCATTAAAGGCGTGCACCACCACTGCTTGGATTTACTTTTTAATTATGTGTTTGTGTGTGGTTGTGTGTTCGAATGTGCAGGTGCCATTGGAGGCCAGAAAAAAGTGTTGGGTTTCCTGAAGTTATAAGTGATTGTTGAGCCTCCTGCTAGAAATTTAAGAATTGAACTCTGGTCCTCTTAACTTCTGAGCTGTCTCTTCACCCCACTTACATGCCTGTCTCTGCCTCCTTCGTGCTGGTATTAAAGGCACTTGCCACCAAGTCCAGTTCATTTTTTAAGATAATGATAGTGTGGTATGTTTGAGTGAGAAAACATTCTTGTCACCTCCCTAGAATTTATAATTTTTTTTGTTTTTTTTCGAGACAGGGTTTCTCTGTAGCTTTGGTGCCTGTCCCAGAACTAGCTCTTGTAAACCAGGCTGGCCTCGAACTCCCAGAGATCCACCTGCCTCTGCCTCCTGAGTGCTGGGATTAAAGGTGTGTGCCACCACTGCCCGGCTAGAATTTATAATTTTAAATGGGATGAGATGTTTGAGATTTGCTTCAAAATTATCTGGCGGAAAGGGGAGTAGATACATAATAAATGAAAGCCAGCATGATTGTTGAATTTATAAAGATGATGAGCCATGACATGTGTTTGTTGCCTACAAGAAATTTTTAAGAGGGCCAGGTGTGATTTATGCCTATTAATCTTAGCACTTGGGAGGCTGAGGCAGGAGGATTGTTGTGAGTTCTGGGCCACACTGGGCTACAAAGTAAATTCTAGGATAGTAATAGAGTTAGACCTTTCCTCAAAGCAAAAGTTAAAGTTTTCAGGCTAGATATCTATGACTATAGATAATCTAAGCTAAGTGTGTCATGCCTTTATCTGATAGAGACTTGTTTATTATCTATATAAAGAAGTGTTTCTAGGAATTTTTAAAATATTTAAAATTATTACATTTATCTTTTCAGTGTTTTGGTTAAATTTATACTTACCATTCTAGAGGGATATTTTTCTAGAGCTCTTGGTATAGGTATACTAGGCTAGCATTCTACCAATGAGCACCAGACTATCATTTGCTTATTTGGAGAAAGTGTCTCATATATCCCCAGGCTGCCTTCAGACTCACTTTGTAGTTGAAGATGACGTGAACGCCACATCTTCCTACTTCCACCTCCCAACTGCTTGGATTAGAGGCTGTGCCTTGCTTGGCTTAATGTTACAGTTCTAATTACATATCTTAGTAAGGACTTGCTGGGTCGTGTGTTTATGTAACAGAGTTACATACTTAAGAGCTCATTGCTTGTTTCTGCCCCCATCTTTTAGAAATGTTAGCCTGACTGACTGAATAAAATTGGGCCAATCATTAGAAATAGTCTGCTTGTATGCTGCTTCATTCCTTTAATTCCAGCGTTTGGGAGGCAGAGGCAGGTGGATCTTTGAGTTTGAGGCAGCCTGGCCAGAGCTACATAGTGAAACCCTGTTTCAAAGAACAGATAAAAGGGGGCCAGGCCGTGGTGGCGCGCTCACTCAGGAGGCAGAGGCAGAGGCAGAGGCAGAGGCAGAGGCAGGTGAATCCCTTGTGAGTTCGAGGCCAGCCTGGTCTACAAGAGCTAGTTCCAGGATAGCTAGGACTGTTACACAGAGAAGGCCTGTCTCAAAAAACCAACCAACCAACCAAACAAACAAACAGATAAAAGGAAGGAAGTACTGTGCTTAGTTAAGTTGAGTTTATTTTGCTCATGAGGTTTTCCTTTCTTGTGATTCAGGGAATGGAGTCTAGTAGGAAGTGCTTTGTCACTGGGCTACATGCCTAGCCCCTTTCTCCAGTTATTTTGATATTAATGAGGCTTATCGATGAAAGGGAACTAAATGAGGACTGTTTTTAAAAACAAAATGAGTTTTCTAGAAAATGTAATTGGATATCTAAAATGAATTTAGAATAAAAGCTTAATGAGAAGTTAATCTGACAAAAGCCTTTCTTTTTCTAAGTAACTGTCTTGTAATTTTTAGGCTGTCACCCTTGACCCAAATTTTCTGGATGCTTATATCAATTTAGGAAATGTCTTGAAAGAGGCACGCATTTTTGACAGGTGAGAATGTTCTGTTTGATGAATTTTCTTGTCTTTTCAGAGTTTGAACTAAAATGTGACAACAGCTTCTTGAAGTACATTTTCCTAGAGTATAGTTTTTCCCTCCTGATAGCTGTTTTCTTCTGTTTTACTTATAGATGTTGTTGGCTGACTTTTCCTTGTTGGTTTTCCTGAATGCTTTTATCCTTCCACTTAGTTCTGTTGAAATTTCCTTTATTGTAAACTGTTAGAAATGATGATTACCTTTTGGGCTAAGTTTGTTTTTTTGTTTTTTGTTTTTTTTTGTTTTTGATTCAGAAAGCTAAGTAAAACTTGACTTTAACTGTTTTGTTGAAGAAACTGCTTTTCTAATTGTGTGTGTTTGTGAGAGGGGCTATATGCACATTGGAGTCTATCCAGAAGAAGACATTGGGTGTCCTTCTCAATCCTGTTATTTTGCCACCTTCTGCCTTTGAGGCAGTTTCTCCTGGAGCCTGGGGCTCACATCTGGGCTAGGTTTGCAGTGTAAGCCTCAGTGGTCCTCCTGCCACAGCCCCTCCACCCAGTGTTGAAGTTGCATATATGTACATGACCATTAAGCTTGGTAGATGGGGGCAGGAATCCAAACTCAGGTCCTCATAATTACACACCAAGCACTTTGATCACCGATCAGCTTCCCAGCCCTGTGATTTTAAAATTTTATGTATATGGGTGTTTTGCCTGCATGTATGTCTGTGAACTATGTGCAGAAGTTGGAAGAGGTATCAAATCCTCTAGAATTGGAGTTGCAGATGGCTGTTAGCTACCATTTGGGTTCTAGGATTCAAATCACAGTCTTCTGGAAGAGCTGCCAATGCTCTTGTCCTCTGAGCCATTTTTTCTAGCACTTGACTTTTAACTTTTTTTTTTTTAAAGATTTTATTTGTTGTGTATACAATGTTCTGCCTGCATGACAGAAGAGGACACCACATCTTACAGGTAGTTGTGAGCCACCATGTGGTTGCTGGGAATTGAACTCAGGACCTCTGGAAGAACAGCCAGTGCTCTTAACCTCTGAGCCATCTCTCCAGCCCCGACTTTTGACTTTTTTTGTCAAAGGAAAATGTACATCTTGAGTGGGAATAGACAACTGTTTTCCTGTGAAAATGTTTTATAGCCTGGCACTTGGGAGTCTGAAGCAGAAGGACTGCTGTGTGTTCAAGGCCTAACTGGGGTATAGAGCAATATTTTCTCTTAAAAAACTTAACAGGGGCCTGCCTGGCTGTAGTTGCTTTCTCCTGTAATACCAGCTCTTGAGAGGCCAAGGGAAGAAGGGCTTGCTCAGACTTTCAAGCCAGCCTAAGCTATAGGGTAAAACCTTGTCTTAAAAAACAAGTGGCTCAGCCGGGTGGTGGTGGCGCACGTCTTTAATCCCTGTACTCGGGAGGCAGAGGTAGGTGAATCTCTGTGAGTTCGAGGCCAGCCTGGTCTACAAGAGCTAGTTCCAGGACAACCTCTAAAGCTACAGAGAAACCCTGTCTCGAAAAAACAAAAAAACAAAAAACAAAAAAACAAAAAAAAAAAAGTGGCTCTTGGTGGTACACGCCTTTAATCCCAGAGGCAGGTAGGTATCTGAGTTCAAGGCCAGCCTAGTCTATAGCTTGTTCCAGAACAGGTTCCAAAGCTATACAGAGAAACCCTGTCTCGAAAAACCAAACAACAACAAAAACAAACTGAACCACACACTCAAAAGTGGAGGGCCGAGAAATTTGCTCAGTGGTAGCGCCCTTGTTTAGCATGCACGAGGCCCTAGGTTCAGTTCTTGGCACCCCAAAAAATATATTTTATAAAGGTGATATTTTTGTTATGCAGTAAAATATATCATAAGTTAATTGTTATTAGTTAATGGCATTTTTGGTATAGTATATCTGGAATTAATTGTAACAAAATACACATTCAAGTTAGTTGGATTTGGGCAGGTGAGATGGTTCAGTGTGTAAAAGTGCCTGGCATGCAATCATATTGACCTGAATTTGATCCCTGGAACCCGTAGTGGAAGGAGAGAACCAACTTCAGAAAGTTGTTTTCTGGCTTCCACATGTGTACCGTGGTTTTTGCCATTTACCAATCTGTTCATGTCATAGACAAACTTATAATAATAATATATTTAATATTAGTGGCATTTGTGTATATGAGTTTGTATGTTTTTGCTTTTCACAGAGCTGTAGCAGCTTATCTTCGTGCCTTAAGTTTGAGCCCAAATCATGCGGTGGTGCATGGCAATCTGGCTTGTGTGTACTACGAGCAAGGCCTAATAGACTTGGCCATCGATACCTACAGACGAGCTATAGAACTGCAGCCACATTTCCCAGATGCTTACTGCAACCTAGCAAATGCACTCAAAGAGAAGGGCAGCGTAAGGATTTTCAGTCTATTTTTATTTCTTTGTTACATGGTAGAAAAGTCTTCATTGTACATATTAAGTAATATTGGTTTTCTTTGGAGTTTTGGTTGATGGGAAGGAGAATACTGAAAAGTATCCATTTTGTGGTGTATTTACCAGCCATTAGGCTCAAAATGATGCAGTTACTTAAATTACTAGAACATAAGTGGTTTCTCTGATTCTTCTCTGTAGTATCTGAATGATTTGTTTTATTTTCCAGGTTGCTGAAGCAGAAGATTGTTATAACACAGCTCTTCGTCTATGTCCTACCCATGCAGACTCTTTGAATAACCTCGCCAATATCAAACGGGAACAGGGCAATATTGAAGAGGCGGTCCGCCTATATCGCAAAGCATTAGAAGTATGTTGAGTACTGTGACTGGGTGTCTAGCCTGTTTGACGGTAGAGGGAAAGCAATTAAGTTTGCCTGCTGTTCACCTCTTCATTTCCTATGTAAGGTCCTATGACAATGCCAGACGTCCCTACATTGAGTTCATTACTTTGTGCATAGATGAGATCTGGACAAAGCCAATGACTAGTAAACTGAGTAAAGCTATTAAAATGAAGAGCTCAGGTCAGTGTCTAGTGATTGGTAGGTGTGGTAGGAGTTTAGAAAAGAGGCTGCATTACTCAGTGTGAGTAACAGGAAGAGAGGCCTACTTCACATTTCAAATGAACATAGGTATAAAATGGAGGAAGCAGTAGAATTTAAGCTACTAGACCCGAAGAATGAGTAAACTTGGAAAAAGAGTTGTGGGAGATAATTGGGAGATTCTGCTATTTAATGTCAGCCGTGATCGTGACTCTCTAGGTCTTCCCAGAGTTTGCTGCTGCACATTCCAACTTAGCAAGTGTACTGCAACAACAGGGGAAGCTGCAGGAAGCACTGATGCATTATAAGGAAGCCATACGGTAAGAAGTTTATAGCTTCTTTTTTCTATTTTCAGTTTTGAGATTATAGTATAATTACATCATTTCCCCTTCCCTTCCCTGCAAAACCTTCCCATATACTTCTCCTTGCTCTCAAATTCATGACTTCCTCTTCCATTAATTCTTGCGAGATGTATATATATATATATTTATTTATTTATATGCAGATATGTTTCTAAACATAATTTGTTATGTATAATGTTACTCAGATGTATATTTTCAGGTCTGACCATTTGGGATTGGATAACCAATTGGTGTACTCTTCCCTGGGGAAGAATATTTCTTCTGCTCTCAGCATTCCTTAGATGCCCTGTAGTTCTTTGTGTTGGACTGAGGCTTGCCCTAATCCACTTCAGCATCCTATCCCCTCCCCTCTTCTCTTCTTCCTCCCCTCTTCTACCCCCTCCCCTTCCCTTCCCTCCACTCCCCTCCCCTCTGCTCTCTTCTTTCTCTCCTCTCTTCTTTCCTCCCATCCCCCCTTTCCTCTTGTTTTTTGAGACAGGGTTTCTCTGTGTAACAGCCCTAGCTGTCCTGGAACTCACTCTGTAGACCAGGCTGGCCATGAACTCAGATCTGCCTGCCTCTGCCTCCCAAGTGCTGGGATTAAAGGCGTGCGCTGCCACCACCACTTGACAAAAGATTTATTTTGTGTATGTGAGTGCTCTGTTTGCATATCTGGCCTTATGCCAGAAGAGGGCATCAGATTCTACTATAGATGGTTGTGCGCCATCATGTGGTTGCTGGGAATTAAACTCAGGACCTCTGGAAGAGCAGCCAGTGCTCTTAACTCCTGAGCCATCTCTCCAGCCCTCAATGCCTGGTTTCTGTAGTACATGTAGATACCTGCTACAGAGGCTAGAAGAGGGCATTAGCAAACCTTGGAGCTGGAGTAAAGGTAGTTGTGAGCTGCACTATGTAGGTTCTGGAAAAAAAAAAAACTCAGGTCCCCTGGAAGATCAGTCAGTGCTCTTAAGTGTTGAGCTACCTCTAGCCCTTTGTTATTTATTTATTCACTTAGTTATTTTAAATTTTTTTGAGACAGGGTCTCTACATAGCCCTGACTGTCCTAGAACTCACTCGTTCTGTAGACCAGGTTGGCCTAGAACTCACAGAAATCCTTCTACCTCTACCTCCCAAGTACTGGGATTAAAGGTGTGTATAATTTAATGTCCCTATTCATTCATGCATCCATATCCATTCATCTACCCATTGATTCCTTCCTATCTATCTGTCTGTCTGTCTGTCTATTTATTTATTTATTTATTTATTTATTTATTTTTGAGACAGGGTTTGTCTATGTAACAGCCCTGGCTGTCCTGGAACTAGCTCTTGTAGACCAGGCTGTTCTCAAACTCACAGAGATTTGCCTGCCTCTGCTTTCCAGGTGCTGGGATTAAAAGTGCGCCACCACCGCCTGGCTCCTGGTTTACATTATTTAATATATTTTATTTATTTTGTGTTCATGGAAGCAATGTGGGCATATACTGTGGTACCCATGTGAAGGTCAGAGAACAATTTACTGGCATTGTTTCTATCCTTTGTTATAGGTTCTGAAGTTTGAACTCATGTCAGGCTTGATTGCAGGTATCTTTACCTGCTGAGCCATCTCTTTTGTGGTTTAAAATTTTATTGTCATCTTTGAAAAAGATTTGTTTTACTTTTTTTTCTTTTGTTTTTCAAGACGGGGTTTCCTTCTGTGTAGCCCTGGCTGTCCTAGAACTTACTCTGTGGGCTGGAGAGTTGGCTCAGCAGTTAAGAGCATTGCCTGCTCTTCCAAAGGTCCTGAGTTCAATTCCCAGCAACCCCATGGTGGCTCACAACCATCTGTAATGAGGTCTGGTCCCCTCTACTGGCCTGCAGGCATATATGTAGACAGAAAATTATATACAAAATAAATAAATATTTTTTTAAAAAAGAACTTACTCTGTAAAGTAGGCTCACCTTGAACTCAGAGATCTGCCTGTCTCTGCTTTCTGAGTGCTGAGATTAGGCTTATCTTACTTTTAAGTATGTATATAAAATCCCTTCAGAATTCAGAAGGTGTTAGATTCTCTGTAGCTGGACATTGTTGTTGGGAAGAGAACTCAGTTCTAAAAGAATATTAAGAGCTCTTAACTGCTGAGTCTCAACTATTAAATAATGTATTGTTATTTAATAATTTATTCTTATTAATTAATAATTAAAGGTTGGCATTTGGCAGCTGCTGAAATGATTCCCTGCCTTTGGGATTCAAGCTAGGCCTCATGCTTGGTAGGCAAGTACTGTGCCACCAAACCACATTAAACCCCCTCCCTCCTCCAATGCTTTAACAACAACAAGGATTTTACACGAGATAATCAAACCCTTGTCTTTTCCTTCAGAATCAGTCCTACATTTGCTGATGCTTACTCTAATATGGGAAACACTCTAAAGGAGATGCAGGATGTTCAGGGAGCCTTGCAGTGTTATACTCGTGCCATCCAGATTAATCCTGCCTTTGCAGATGCACACAGCAATCTGGCTTCCATTCACAAGGTAATGCTGCTTATTGTGACATGGGCACCTTAGCACTGAAGTTTCATTATAGGAAACTCCTTACAAGCTTGCTTTCTTTCCAGGATTCAGGGAATATCCCAGAAGCAATAGCTTCTTACCGCACAGCTCTGAAACTTAAGCCTGATTTTCCTGATGCCTATTGTAATTTGGCTCATTGCCTACAGGTAAGGAACAATAGTCTAGTGTTTTTCTTTCTGTATTGTTACCACTTTTTAATTTTTATGTGCCATAATAATGCAAGCCTGGCTGGAGATTGTTGTTTTTTAGCAAGTGGAGGTCAGAGGGCAGTTTTCAGGAGTCATTTCTCATAACACGTGGGTCCCAGGCATTAACTCCAATTGTCTGGCTTGCCTTTTATTCTTGTCCTTTATTCACTGAGCCAGCCCCAAGATCATATTTTTAGTAGGTAATCTAACACTTTTAGGAAGTCAAATATTTGCAAAATAAATCCTTTGGTAGGTTTTCTGGGTGATCATTTCTTTTTGCTTCCTCTAGATTGTCTGTGATTGGACAGACTATGATGAGCGAATGAAGAAATTGGTTAGTATTGTAGCTGAGCAGCTAGAGAAGAATAGGCTGCCTTCTGTGCATCCTCATCACAGCATGCTGTACCCTCTTTCTCATGGCTTCAGGAAGGCTATTGCAGAGAGGCATGGGAATCTCTGCTTGGATAAGGTGACTTGTCCTTTCATTTTTTTCTGTTATAAACTCAAATGCAAATAAATAAAAACATTGTACAAATCAAACGTACAGTATGGTTTTGCCAATCAGCATGTGGTCAACATCACCCAAGTTAAGAAATAAAGCTTTCTTAGCTATTCCAGAAGTCACTTTCTAATGTGTCCTGTCTTCAACTGAACTCCCTTCAATCCAAAGGATGGGGACTTTTATTTCTTCTTTTTCCCCCTGAAATAGGGTTTCTCTGTAGCTTTGAAGCTTGTCCTGGAACTATCTCTGTAGACCAGGTTGGTCTTGAACTCACAGAGATCCGCCTGCCTCTGCTTCCCAAGCGCTGGGATTAAAGGCATGTATCACCACTGCCTGGAGAGACTTTTCATTTCAAACTCTGAACAAGTTTAATAGTGGTATTTTTCTTAAGGTGAAACTCACAGCTACACATGATGATGCAAACCTATAATTCCAGTTGAGATTATAAATCTATAATCTCAACAAAAACCTCCACCTAATACGAACATCTAAAAACCAAACTAAACGCAACAACAACAAAAGCCCCAATAGGGTTTAAATACAGAGTGTATGGTATTATATACTCAACTTTCAGAATTAGAATATGAATTGATAGAGTTTGGGGTCTGTTTTAGGAAACAGTGGTAAATTAAGATTTCTTTTTGTAAATATTTATTTATTTATTATGTATACAGTATTCTGTCTGCGTGTATGCCCACATGCCAGAAGAGGGCACCAGACCTCATTACAGATGGTTGTGAGCCACCATGTGGTTGCTGGGAATTAAACTCGGGACCTTTGGAAGAGCATGCAATGCTCTTAACCGCTGAGCCATCTCGCCAGCCCTCCTCTCTCCTCCTCCTCCTCCTCCTCCTCCTCCTCCTCCTCCTCCTCCTTTTTAAATACAAAAATGCTTCTTTGTCGAATTTCCTAAAATAATCATACTCTATCCATATTTCATGTTGGAGTCTGTTCAGGCATATTTTCTACACTTCAGGTCAGATATGAAGCATGAGCACTATGCAGCCACCATACACAGCTGTTTACCTTCGAAGGCGCCATTAAACTGGCCACATAAGTGAAGTTTGCTGTCTAAAGTTTTTGGTTTTTCGAGACAGGGTTTCTCTGTAGCTTTGGAGCCTATCCTGGAACTAGCTCTTGTAGACCAGGCTGGCCTTGAACTCACAGAGATCCGCCTGCCTCTGCCCCCCGAGTGCTGGGACTAAAGGTGTGTGCCACCACTGCCCGGCCACTAAAGTTTTTTCATAATTATGGGTCTATATGATTTTAGATTCTACTTTCATTTATTTCACTTAAATTTTTTTTTTTTGAGGCAGGTCTTATGTATATCAGGTTGGCCTTAAAACTCTCTATGTAGCTGGGGATTACCTTGAACTTCTGATCCCTTTTGCTTCCACCTCCCAATTGCAGGGGTCACAAGAGTGCACCAACATGTCCATTTATTTTTTGTTGTTTGTTCTGTTTTGATCACTATGTCAGACTGGCTTTCCTGTAACTCAGTGCATAGACCAGGCTGACTTCAAACTCAGCCTTCAAACTATGCCTCACCTCCTAATGATTGGGATCAATGATGGTACTATCATGCCTGTTCTTTATGTAGTTCTGGGGACAGAACCCTTAGGGCATTATACACGCTAGTCAAAACACACTACTAATCACAAGTCCCTGTTATCGGTTTTTTTCTTTTAGATAAAAATTTGCACATGACTTGACTTTGTTAACGACCATTGTATTCTGTTGGTAGATTAATGTCCTTCATAAACCACCATATGAGCATCCAAAAGACTTGAAGCTCAGTGATGGCCGGTTGCGTGTAGGGTATGTGAGTTCTGACTTTGGGAATCACCCTACTTCTCACCTTATGCAGTCTATTCCAGGCATGCACAATCCTGATAAATTTGAGGTAAGAGTAGGTTCTGGTGACTTTCTTCTGTCATCTTTGATGTTAAGCCCAGTGTTTTGAGAGGCTTGGAGCCAAGGTTATTAAGTATGCCCTCCTCTGTCTTTTAGGTGTTCTGTTATGCCCTGAGCCCAGATGACGGTACAAACTTCCGAGTGAAGGTCATGGCAGAAGCCAATCATTTCATTGATCTTTCTCAGGTAGGCAAAACACAGATCCTTTTCTTCAGATTTTAAGATTTCATAATTAAGTATATGTGTTTGGTATGGTATGTGGGGATGTGCCTGTATGAAGACAGGTGCCCAAGGAGGCCAGAAGAGAGGGTGTCAGATCGCCCAGACATGGAGTTACAGGGTGTCACATGGGTGCTGGAGCAAATGCAGGTCCTCTGCAAGCACAGCAAGTGCCTTTATGTTTTAAATTTTGAGTAAATTTGAAAAAGAAAAACCCTTTTGGTACAAAGTGGGTTTTTTTTGTATTAGGAGTTGAATGGAGGGTCTCATGTTTGTAGTTTTTGATGATGGGTATTAAAAGGAGTAACTACTGTATTTGGGCAATTTGCCCTTGTTTCCTTGGTCATTTACATTTTTATTTGGCATGACTTTTAAGTTGTACATAAAATAGAAATGTGATATAACTCTGTTTGATATATAACTTTTCTAGATACTTTTAATACATACTGAACAAAATCAAGAAGGGTAAATGGCTAAATAGCTAGTTTAAGGACAGACTAGGCTATGTGAGACCGCCCCCATCTCATTTTTTTAAAGGAGGGGGCTGCAGCAAAAAGCCCATCTATTTTTGAGTTTTTGCATTTGTGTGTGTGTATGGTCTTTTTGTTTTATTCTTTTGTAATTCACAAAGTGGGCCTTGAACTTTTGTTAATCCTCCTGCTTCAGCCACCATACCCTACTGGTTGTTTGTCTTTGTTTCTATTTTTTTTCCTCTGTAAATTTTATGATGAGTCAAAGTTGAAACCTATGGGAGAATTAAATTTGCTATGGGTTCTGTTAGTCACATATTTAGACATGAATATGAATAAGTGTGTTTGCATGTAGACACACATCTAAATGTAAATAATGGGATTGGGGACATAGCTCAGTTGGTACAGGGCTTGTCTATTATACACAAAACTCTGGGTTTGATTCTTAGTACTGTATAAACTGGGTGTTGTGACTCATACCTATAATCTCACCATTTTGGAGGTGGAGACAGAGACAGAAGGATCAGGGTTAAAGGTCATCCTTGGCTACGTAGAGTTCAAGGTCTGCCTGGGCTAGAGACCCTGTTTCAAAAACAAGGCTAGGGATGGTGTAGCTCCTAGCAGGTAGATCTGAGTTTGAGGCCAGCCTGATATACTTAGCAGTTCCGGGCCAGGCAGAGCTACATAGGGAGACCCTGTTTCAAATAACCAATAAATAACTAACTGAATGAGTAAATAATAGACATTTTCTTAGATGGGTTGGGAGAGTTATCTCATTTAATAAAGTTTGCATACCAGTATCTTTTGTAGCATGGTTACTACTTCAAAAATATGTCTGGTCTGCTTTTGATTTTTGAGACAGAGTCTCACGGTACCCCAGGCTGGCCTTCTTACTGTGAGCAGTCTCATACACTTCTGGTACATACTAACTAGGGCAGTATTCTACCCAGTGAGCTGCATTTCCAGCTTTGATTTTTATTTTTCTGAGGCAAAACTTTAACTATGTGATCAGAACTGCCTGTAAACTCCCAGTGTAGCCTAGGCTAGCCTTGAACTCAGCCTTCTTAGTGCTAGAATTGCAAATGAGAGATATCTTGAACGACTCTTCCCTCATCTATCTGCCTGCCTATCTATCTATCTATCTATCTATCTATCTAGCCATCTATTGATTGATTTGGCAGGCTCACTATGTGTTCCTGGTTCGTTTGGGACTATCTGTGTAGACCTCTGAAACTGTCCTGGAATTTACAGAGATCCTTGGGATTAAAGGAGTGAGCCACCACGACCTGGCTTTGAATGTTTTTGATAGATTTATCTTTATGTGTGTTATGTTTGTTTATATGTGCACCATATATGTACATTATGTTTGTGCCTGGTGCTTTTGGAGGTCAAAAGGAGTTGGATGCCCTGGAGTTACAAATGGTTGTTAACCATGTAGGTGCTGAGTTCTACATGTAGTCAGTCCTTCAGTGCTCTTGAGCACTAAGCCATCTCTCTAGCCCTGTACCCCTTTTTTGCTATAGGGTCTCACTAGGTAGTCAATCTAGTCTTCAGATGCTAGGATTATAGGCACCTGTCGCTGTATTTTTTTCCATTTTTGGCATGTGTGTATGTGTATTGTGATTAGTGTACATGTAGGTGTACTTGCAGGTTCATATGTTGCTCAGAGTAGGATGTTGGATATCTTTGGCTTCTTTTCTCTTTCTTTCTTTCTTTCTTTCTTTCTTTCTTTCCTCCTCCTCCTCCTCCTCCTCCTCCTCCTCCTCCTCCTCCTCGTCTTCTTCTTCTTCTTTTTTTCTGAGACAGGGTATCTTCATAGCCCTGGCTGGCTGTTCTGAAGGTCAGCTAAACTCACTGTGTAGATTGGCCTCCAAGTAAGCTCTCTCTGCCTCCCAGATTGTGGGATTAAAGGTGTGTGCCTTCCTACCCAGCCAACTGTGGAGATCTTGCTCCTCCACTCTTGGCCTTATTTTCTCAAGACTGAAACTGACTCATCTTCCTGTCTCCAACCCCCACAGACCTGAGCTGAGGTTCCAGGTGCACATGTGTGGTCATATGTGGCTTTTTATGTGGGTGCTGGAATCCAGACTTAGGTCCTCTTACTCACTGAGTCATCTCTCATCTTATTTATACTGTTTCTCATTGAGATTATAGAGTATCAAACATCTAGTAATTGTTGTGATTGATTTGAGACAGAATCTGTTTAGCTCTGGCTAGTGGAAACTCATGATTTTGTCTCAGGTTTCCTGAATCCTTGCCTTCAAGTCTTGTAACAAATATGCTTAGCCTCTTGTTCATCTTTGAAGGCCCATTTAAAATACTCGCTCCCTTCTGTAACCCTGTTACTAATCCATCCAATTTAGAAGGAAAGTCTGCTTCCTTTATTGTTGAGACAGGGTCTCATGTAGCTGATGTTGTTGTTTAACTGATCTTTCTACTTCTACCTCCCAAGTGCTGGGATTATGAGAGTGAGCCACTATACCCAGTTTATTCACCTCTTTTGCATCTAGGTCTGAATTCTGTTTAATCCTATTAAAACCAATCGAATTAATCTTGAGATTCTACATAGTTCTTACTGTTTATCCTGTAGATTCCATGCAATGGAAAAGCAGCTGACCGCATTCACCAAGATGGAATTCACATCCTTGTAAATATGAATGGGTATACCAAGGGGGCTCGAAATGAGCTCTTTGCTCTCAGGCCAGCTCCTATTCAGGTAAGAGAATAATCATTCACAATGTTTATTGTACTAAAAAGACAGTGGTTTTTGGTTTTCTTCCATCTGGCTAACTACCCTTGAAAACAACAGGATAGACATTCTTGAGTGTTCTTGTATGTACTAGGATAGTTTTTTGGGTGTAGACCCAGTGCCCACAGGTAAAATGTCAATGGAGACTAGCATTTCATGGTTTTATAATAAATAGCTCCTTTGTCTAATATATTTGAAGAACACCTTACCACTTACAGGGTTAGTCTGAAAAGCTGCTGGATTGCTCTTGGCCAAAGAAGTCAGCCTCCTTTATATATGTACATAAGTGATTTGGGAGCCTTTAGATGAAGATCCTCTTTTGAAAAACTGGAATAATTTGGTAGGTTTACAGATGGATAAAAGTTCTTAGTTTTCGGTCTGATTGTTTTTTAGGCAATGTGGCTGGGATACCCTGGGACTAGTGGTGCACTGTTTATGGATTATATCATCACTGATCAGGAAACTTCCCCAGCTGAAGTTGCAGAACAGTATTCTGAGAAACTGGCTTACATGCCTCATACTTTTTTTATTGGTGATCATGCTAATATGTTCCCTCACCTGAAGGTAGGCAGAAAATAATGCTATGGGGTTAATTCATTTTTCCCCTTGGATTGTCCATATGCACCCTGACAGGCATGTCAACTTTTCTTCCATTAGAAAAAAGTAGTCATCGATTTTAAATCCAATGGGCACATTTACGACAATCGGATAGTTCTGAATGGCATCGATCTCAAAGCATTTCTTGATAGTCTACCAGATGTGAAGATTGTCAAGGTCAGAACCCAGTCGGCATTTGTTACTGAAATGAACTAAATTTGTTAATTTTTTCTTATAATGCATTTCTGTTTGGATTTTGTTTTCAGATGAAATGTCCTGATGGAGGTGACAATGTAGACAGCAGTAACACAGCTCTTAATATGCCTGTCATTCCCATGAATACAATTGCAGAAGCAGTTATTGAAATGATTAACAGAGGACAGATTCAGATAACAATTAATGGATTCAGTATTAGCAATGGACTGGCAACTACACAGGTGGGAAAGACCTTAACTATGTGCCACCATCCATACATCATTTCCTTGAAGCCTTATAACCACTCTATTCTACAGAGGAGGAAATAAGCTTCTTGGAAACTTGCTCTTGTAGCTGTGTCTGGTCTTGAAAGTCATTCGGCTTCAACCATCAGGCTCCTTAGTGAGTGCCTACTGTGCTAATGCTTGTTTTTGCCTGTCTGTGCCTTTATTCTCTTACCTCTAGGCACCATATGGTTGCTTGCTTCTGTAAACTCACCCTTTTCCTGGCCAAATCCTGCCTCGCCTTTCAGTTCAGATAGTTCTTATGGGAACCAGTTACTGAACTGATCTTTTGCCTCTCTTTCCATACTCATTGGTACTTGTCTCCTGTGCTTCTGTTGTTTTGGGGTATATTGTTACATTCAGCATAGTGCAGTGTAATGTTTGTATTTGTATCCTTCAGCAAATGGAATTACTTTAGAACTCATGTCTTAGCCCCAATAATATAGTATGCATTCAGAGAGAGAGAGAGAGAGAGAGAGAGAGAGAGAGAGAGAGAGAGATGCATACTGGAAGAGGCAAATACATAGGGCAGGAATCTTAGACTTCTTAGGTGCTGACAACATTATTGAGATGTCCATACTCATGTAACAGCATAAGGCAGTCTTCGACAAGTATGGGATTTGCAAATAAAACTGTAGTTGAAGGACTTGACCATCAGTGTAAGGGGGAGTCTTGAGTCTTGGGGAGAAGAGACCCTTTGGGGAGGAGTAATTGAAATTTGCCTTGGAGAGAGGATATGATTTGGAGAAGAGCATTTATTTCATCCATGAAGAACAGAGTAAAAAAAAGCAGAAGCTTTACTGTTGGTTATGGGGTTTTTAGTACTTGTTGTTGTTGTTGTTGTTGTTTTATGAGACAAGAGTTTTTCTTTGGAGCCCTGGCTGTCCTGGAACTCTATAGAATAAACTGACCCTGGGCTGAGAAATTTACCTGCCTCTGCCTTCTAAGTGCTGGCATTAAAGGCTACCACCACTAGCCATGAAACAGGATCTGGCTATGTAACCCAGGCTGTTCTCAAACTTGGCAGCGCCCCCCCCCCCCTTTTTTTTTGGTTTTTCAAGACAGGGTTTCTGCATAGTTTTTGGAGCCTGTCCTAGAACTAGCTTGTGTAGACCAGGCTGGCCTCGAACTCACAGAGATCTGCCTGCTCTGCTTCCTGAGTGCTGGGATTAAAGGTGTGCTCCACCACTGCCCGGCCTGGCCTCTTTTCATAGGGCAGTTACTCTTAAGTCAAAGTAATGGTGTAACTTTTTATGTCTTAAAAGTAAACTATAGGGCTGGAGAGATGGCTCAGTGGTTAAGAGCACCGCCTACTTGTCTAAAGGTCCTAAGTTCAATTCCCAGCAACAACATAATGGCTTACAATCATCTGTAATGAAATCTGGTGCCCCCTTCTGGTCTGCAGGCATACATGTAGGCAGAATACTGTATACACAATAAGTAAGTAAATAAATAAATAAATAAATCTTTTTTTAAAAAAGTAAACTATATAAAAATATTTTCTCATTACAGTTCAGGGACAGAAGTTAAAATCTTTATACCATTTTATATATTTTGAATTGATTCTTTTTCTAAAAAAATATTTTATGTGTATCGATATTGCCTGAACATATGTCTGTACTATGTGCGTGCCTTGTGCCTAGGGAGGCCAGAAGACAGCATCAGGTCTTCTGGAACTAGAATTATAGATGCTTGCGAGCTGCCCACCATATGGGTGCTGAAGCTCTAACCTAGGTCTTCTGGAAGAACAGCTAGTGTTCTTACAGAACTGAGCCATCTCTAGCTAGCTCACTGACTCATGGCACTCTTTTTATTCTCTCTCTCTGCATCTGTCTCTTACTATGTTGCCCTGGCTAGCCATGAATTATGTTAAACCAGGCTGTCCTCAGAGTCATAAGAAATCTGTCTGCCTACAAATTTGATGCCAGCCTGGTCTACATAGCAAGTTCCAGGTTAGCCAAAGCTACATAGTGAGACCCTGTCTTAAACAAACAAGCAAACAAAAACAAAAAAACAGGCCAGGCATAGGGACACACACAACACTCTAATCTTAGCATTTGGGAAGTCTTACTGTTGACTGAAGCCTGTACATAGTGTGAGGCCTTCCTGGACGTGTGTGTGTGTTGGATGAAACCCCAGGACCTTGTGCATTCCAGATAAACACTCTGCCATGTAGATATACTCCCATTTCTTGGCTTGTTGGGGTAGGGCTTTCATATAGCCCAGGCTAGCCTCAAATCTTGATCTCTGAGCCTTCTTCCCCCATCTCCTGAGTACTAGAATTATAATTGGGTACTGCTGTGCCTTGGTTTATGCAACACTTGAATCAAAACCAGGGCTTCTTACATCTTGACCAGCTGAACCACATCTGCAATTCCCTTTGGCCAGTGCTAACTCTAAATTTAATCATGTTCTTTTTGTTATTCTAGATCAATAATAAAGCTGCAACTGGAGAGGAGGTTCCCCGTACCATTATTGTAACCACCCGTTCCCAGTACGGGCTACCAGAAGATGCCATTGTGTACTGTAACTTTAATCAGTTATATAAAATTGACCCTTCTACCCTGCAGATGTGGGCAAATGTGAGTATGTGTAGATTTGTTATTAATTAATGCGTATTGATGAGTAAAGATTATGTATTTGGGCTACCTTGCTGAAGCTTCTTTCATTTATGGACTATTATGCTCATTTCTTAGCTCCAAAAGTTGTGACATTTTCAGCTGTTTTAAATCATTTTTATTTTTTGAGATTATAATATAACCAATATAATTTCCCCCCCCCTTTCTTCTCTCCCATGTTCCCCAGGTCCAGTCCCTTTTCTCTTTTTCAAATTCACAGCTTTCTTTTCCTTAGTTGTTGTTTGCTTGCTTGTTTGTTTCTCTTTCTTTCTTTCTTTCTTTCGAGAGGTTTCTCTGTAGCAGCCCTAACTGTCCTGGAACTAGTTCTTTTTTTTTATTTATTGTTTTTTTTTAAATTTATTTATTTATTAAAGATTTCTGCCTCCTCCCCGCCACCGCCTCCCATTTCCCTCCCCCTCCCCCAATCAAGTCCCCCTCCCTTGTCAGCCCAAAGAGCAATCAGGGTTCCCTGACCTGTGGGAAGTCCAAGGACCACCCACCTCCATCCAGGTCTAGTAAGGTGAGCATCCCAACTTCCTAGACTCCCACAAAGCCAGTACGTGCAGTAGGATCAAAAACCTATTGCCATTGTTCTTGAGTTCTCAGTAGTCCTCATTGCTGAAACTAGTTCTTGTAGACCAGACTGGCCTCGAACTCAAGAGATCCACCTGCCTCTGCCTTCTGAGTGCTGGGATTAAAGGCGTGCACCACCACCGCCCAGTGCTTCTTTTTTAGTAGTAGTAATTGTTAATGGTGTGTGTATTCATGTGTATTCCTAAATATATAAATGAAATCCACTCATTCTGTATAATGCTACTTGTATTGTTTTTGAGATGAGGTCTCAATGTATCCCAGGCTGGCCTTGTTACATAGCAGAGAATAATACTGAACTTCTGTTCATTCTTGTACTTCCCAAGTACGGGGATAACACAGGTTTGCCACCACATCTGGTTATGTGGTGCTAGAAAGTAATCCAGGGCTGCCTTCATGCTAGACAAATAACTCTACCAGCTGAGCTATGTCCACAGTCATCTTCAGTTTTGATTTTACCTACTGTTGTTGTATTTTCCTCCAGTGTGTGGGGATCAAGGTCAGGGTGTGATACACAGTAGGCAAGCTCTGTACCAGTGAGCTGTATCCCCAGTCTTTTGGTGTATTTATTTTCATTTTTGAAGACAGTGTCTCTATATAGCCCTGAATGTTCTAGAACTCACTATGTAGTCCAGGCTGGCTTCAAACTTAGATCACCTGCTCTGCCTCTTGAGTTCTAGGTTTAAAGTTGTGTACCACCAAGCCTGGTTTCAGTCTTGTGTTTTTTTTTAAAATTTCATGCAATAAACATTTATTTGTTTATTCAAAGTGTTTTGTCCAAACCTGATGTCATCGAACTTTTTCTTCTTAAAGAGTTAGTAAATGAAATTTTCAGTTTTTTAATAAGTAATCTAGTCATCTCTCCTTTTTATTTATAGTATATATATAATGAAAACACTTAGATATTATATAAATTAACCCATGGCTTAGCATATCAAATTTTATTTCTAAACACTGGCTGTATGCCATACTTGGTTTTCAGGCCATAGTTTCCTAACCCCTGGCCTGAACTGATAGCAAAACTTGCTGTGTGGACATCCATATTTAACATCCTTGCAATTCTATGACATTAACCAGGAAAGAATTGGTCAATAGCCCTATTTTGCAATCAGCTCATGAGCCTGGTTTGTAGAAGTGCAATACTGAGTGTATGCGGCCAGCTGGCCCTGAGTTTGTATAACTGAAATGCTATATTTTACCTTAATGTTGTTAGAAAGAAATCATTCCTTGCTTGATCCCCCCCTCCCCATATCTGTTCTATTTGTTTGAAAGGGAAGGGTAATGTAGAAAGAGAGGAAGTGGATGAGTAAGCCTCTATTTTCCCTGAATCCTCGCTTTAGCCAAAACTTACCTAACAGTAGGCTAGTTTTACTTTTTAAAAAATTCTGCTTATGAATATTCCTGCATCTCAATATAGAGATACTAAAGTGTTTAAAAAAAACAAGGAGTTGCTTCCAAGAGTGTTAGATAAATGTATGTACATTGTATGTTTAAAAATGTGAAATAGTCTGAATTTGGAAATTTGTCTATTCTCAAATTTTTCAGAGAAGGAAGTGTGAAGTTCTGTGATATGTTGAATAAATGCACTTCTGAATCAGGAGTAGGTAAACTGGTCTGGAGGCCAAATCCACTGCTTGGCTCGTTGCTTGGTACTTTTTGATGCTGGGGTGGAACCCAGGTCCTTGCACATGCTAGGCAAGTACTCTACCGTTGAGGTACATTCCCAGCCTCTCATTGCTTATTTTTTTTTTTTTTTGATTTTTCGAGACAGGGTTTCTCCGTAGCTTTTGGTTCCTGTCCTGGAACTAGCTCTTGTAGACCAGGCTGGCCTCGAACTCACAGAGATCCGCCTGCCTCTGCCTCCCGAGTGCTGGGATTAAAGGCGTGCGCCACCACCGCCCGGCTCATTGCTTATTTTTATAAATAAAACTTTGACACATGGCCACATACATGTGTTTATACACTTACTATCTATGGCTGCTTTCAAGCTACAAAACAGGCAGTGACTAAAAAGCCAGTACTATTTTCTCCCTGGTCATTTATAGAAGTTTATGCTGCCTTCTGGTTGACATTAGGCAATTTGGGCAAATTTTCAAGTTACTCTTGTAATGTGGTGAGGTGGGGGATTTAAAATTTGAAGTACTGTGTATGGTAAAATGTGCCGGTACTTCAAGCTACTCTGGAGGCTGAGATATGAGAGTTGCTAGAGTCTATGAGTTTGTGGCCAGCCTGGAAAACTTAATGAGACCCTGTTCCTTAAAAACAAAAATAGGAGTAGAGGCTTACAGAGCCTCAGCGCTCCCTGGTGGCTACTTGCAGAGGGAGAGTTCTTTTCTGTGGTGGGCATTTGCCCATCCTCCAGTAACTCACCTCACCCATTTTCATGCAAGCAATCCCAACTAATTTCAGTGGATCATAAACACAAAATAACAACGGTAAAGGTGAAGGTAAGAGGGGTTCAGTAAAAATGGAAGGGGTGAATAGTGGAGGGTGGAAATGACTCTTTCCAAAAATATATAATGGAATTGTCAAAAGATTTTTTTTAAGAAATGTAAGTTAAAAAAGCAAACATAAAGACACCCACATTCCCATCTTTAACAAAGACCACTTCCTATATTAGTTCCTGCCTCAGATTGTACCCGTTAGTAACTTGACTTTTGTCTTCTAATTCTTTTCTCTGTCCTCAAACTCTCTGGGGACAGCTAAGAGAAAAGAAGTAACTCAGATGATTTAATTCATCTTTTTAAAGAAAAGACCTAGGTCCCAAACAGGCTTCTTCACTTGTTTATGGCAGAGTCTTCTTGAATTTAGAAACCTTAGAAACCTCCTGCTTCAGTTCTGCCAGGATCATAGGTATGTGCCACAATGCCCAGATTAGGTGGTGTTGGGGGTCAGTCACACTTTCTGAGTGGTTTTGGGAAAGGGCAGATGTGCTATTAATCTTTTCTTTTTCCTTTTCTTTTTTTTTTTTAGATTCTGAAACGTGTACCTAATAGCGTGCTTTGGCTGTTGCGTTTTCCAGCAGTAGGAGAACCCAATATTCAACAATATGCACAAAATATGGGTCTTCCCCAGAATCGTATCATTTTTTCACCTGTGGCTCCGAAAGAGGAGCATGTCAGAAGAGGTCAGCTGGCTGATGTCTGTCTGGACACTCCCTTATGTAATGGACACACCACAGGAATGGATGTTCTCTGGGCAGGAACACCCATGGTGACTATGCCAGGTAAGTGGCTGACAAATCACTGAATCCTTCTTTATTCGTTAACATTTTTCTTTTGGGTCGAGGGGTACTTGAAGGTGAAATTTTTTTTTGAAGGTGAAATTATATGTATTAGAAGTAATTAAGGCAGAATAATAGAAAATGGGACTTACTCAAGCCTGAATACTTGACACCATCCTCCTCGTCTTGTACTGTGTAGATACTTAAATGCAATTACCAATGATGACTATGTGACCTATAGTTCTAAGATGAGCAATTAGTATTTTTACCTTCTAGGAGAGACTCTCGCCTCTCGAGTTGCGGCTTCTCAGCTCACTTGCCTAGGATGTCTTGAGCTCATTGCTAAAAGCAGACAAGAATATGAAGACATAGCTGTGAAACTAGGAACTGATCTAGAATAGTAAGTAAACTGCCAGGAACAAACTATATGTGAAAATGTGACAAAATAAAGTCATAAATTAAGGATGATATAAAATAGATGAATTAAGTTGTATGCTCTATGGATAGAAGGGGACATAATCTAAACTCTCAAGTAATCACTAGACTTTAATAAAGAACTTTCAAAGCATCAGATGTTTTAGCCTAGTATCCATTTCTTCATAGTATTTTAAAAAACCACCACCAACAACAAAAATCACAAAAAAAGCTTAGTTGACTGAAAATGAGTGGAAATTAGAGGGATCATGCTAAGGTAAATGGAGCTTCGCCCATTCAATGAAATAGTGTTTCTAATTTGTCCCTTTGTTTTATGGTGTTTGTTTAAAGCATTAATTTTTTTTTCTGTGTGGTATAGGTGCATGCCTTTAGTACTAACACTTGGGAGGAAGAGACAGGCGATCTGAGTTCAAGGCCAGCTGTTGTCCTCTGGGCTTTACATGCACACACAAACACAAGCATATATACCCAAATACACATAGTCCATAGGGTCTTTTTGTTTTGTTTTTTTGAAAGGAAGCATTGATAGTACTATGAATACATTTGAGTAGAGCCTAATCAATGGACAGCCAACTTTCACTTTCAATATATTTCCTTTTTTTGTTTGTTTATTTGCTTTTTGTTTTTTGTGACAGCTCTAGCTGTCCTGGAACTAGCTCTTGTAGAGCAGACTGGCCTCAAACTCACAGAAATCCACCTGCCTCTGCCTCCCAAGTTCGGGGATTAAAGGCGTGTGCCACCACCCAGCTCAGTATATTTCTGATGATATGTTAAAATCCATGACAGAAATCAACTTGGAGAGGAAAGGGTTTATTTGCCTTACATATCCATATCACAGTTCATCATGAATGGATGCCATGACAAGAACCTGGAAGCAAGAATTGAAGTGCAGAAATGGAGGAACACTGCTAGTTGGCTTGATCCCCCTAGTTTGCTAGAGGTGGTACTGGCCATATTGGCCTGGGTCATTAATCAAGAATCAAGAAAATGACCTACAGACATGCCCATAGACCATTCTTATGAATACTTGAGGTTCCCTCTTCCCAGATATGTGTGTCAAGTTGCTAGGCCAAGCAGAAAAAAAATTTTTTATATTATTATGCCACAAAAATGACTATAGAATCTAGTTCTGAGTTTTTGTTCTGATTTGTAAAATAGGTTCTCTTTGTTTTTATTACCTAGCCTGAAGAAAATTCGTGGCAAAGTCTGGAAACAGAGAATATCTAGTCCTCTGTTCAACACCAAACAGTACACAATGGAATTAGAGCGGCTCTATCTGCAGATGTGGGAGCATTATGCAGCCGGCAACAAACCTGACCACATGATTAAGCCTGTTGAAGTCACTGAGTCAGCCTGAATAAAAGACTGCGCACGGGAGAATTACCCCTATACCTGAGCCTCAACCTTCTGGGGGAAAGGGAACTAGATAACATGCTTTGTACTTATCTGTACAGTACCTTGTTGCAGATGGATGATATATAACGATAATAGAATAGCACAGCCAGACTTGCTTCCTGCATGATAGGGAGATACAAGAGATAAGAAACTGCTACTCCACAAGGAATCTCTGTAGAGTTTTGCAGTAAGCAGGTGGTGCAGAGGTCTGGAAGGTCTGGTCTCCCTTGGTCTTCCATGGGATGCTTAATGTGGAGGGAGATAGAGATTGACCAGCCATTTCGTGATTCCATGGATAGATTGAGTCTTCTGATCCTTTTTTCCTTTATATTTTGGGTATTGGAGCTTTTAAAAATGTTTGCTTTCAGGTATTTTTACTTACGTGAAGTGATCTTGATTCTTCTGAGATAAGGTTTTAAACTAAAATGTTGCTTCCTGTTTTAGTGTCTGAACTCTGACAGGGTGACAGGGACCGTGCTGGTGTAGTCTTTTTATAGGTTTTATAAACCATTTGAGCCTATATCAGTCGTTTTAGTTAGTGTCTGACCTAATGCTTGATACTGTCAGTGCTTTGTTGATTTAGACAGTGACTTAGGATTTTTTCAGCCTCTTTCCCATTTCTTTTCCCCCACTTCCTTTAAATTCTCCTGTGAGTGCTAACAAAACTAAGTCTTGTTTCAAACATCCCAGAGTGTTTCTCTTAAGCACGCCATCTGGTGCCAAATGAAAATTCTTAAGGAGTGAATATTAATCATGAAGGGCACAGTTGTGGTACTGTTATTGATAATAATGTAGATTTTTTTTTGCCTGATTTTTAGCTATTTCACCAGTGTTTAAGCCCTTGACTGCCCCTCCTATGCTGCTTCCAAAAGTGTTAGTGTGTGATGAGATTTTTACTTTCCTTTCTAAAGTTTGTTTGTTTTTTAAAGTGAGTCCTGTTCTTCCTATTTCTTTCAGCAGAAATGAAATTCCAGGTAAGTATAAGTATTCAAATATTTGATTAGTAAGTTGCAGTTATTTCTGTATATTAAATACTGTTCACTGACAGATTTTGACGTAAAAGCTCTGAAAGGACCATCTCTATACAAGCAGTTATTTTTCAGACTGTGTTAGTGTGTATCTTCTTGACTTAGTCTCTAAGTTTGTGGATTCAGCCTTGATAGTAGTGAATTTGTGTCACTACTTGGTTTAGAGGACAAGTTAGACATTCATTTGCCCTCCTGGAGCTCGAGTTCTTGGTGATGAAGGACAGTTGCATTTCAATAAAAGGGTAGAGGGCTTGAGGCTTAAACAGGCGGCCATAGGACATAGCACTCAGACTCCAGCCACTGACCAGTTTTGTCTGTTAGCGCTCTAGATTACGTCTTTCCAAAGCACCTAGGCAGTGCATCTATTCTGTAGTTGCAGCTGTTGCCTGAATGTACCTTAGCTGACAAGTTGTTGATAATAAAGAACTTGAATTTGTGATTTTTTTTTACTGCTAGTTAAAACCTAAGCAAGGAGTCTCGCGTGTAATTCTGAAGCAGAATTACATTGTAATGAACTGTGTACCTTTAGTAATGTAAATCAAGGAAAACAGTTAAGGGATTTCTTAATTTATTTTTTAACTGAATAAATCTCAGTTAAAGGTTGCCAGCATGGTTACAGGTAAACTGACTTTGAAAAACCACTGAACTGCTAAATGTGGGATTGGATGATAGATGTCCAGGGCCGCTGAAGTTGTGATCTGTGGCCATTTTACATAGCACATCATTCCTCCTATAGGGATGAACTTTTTCCTGGCACAAAAAGTAGCCGCTCTGGTTGAAGCTTTGCATATTGTAACAGGCTTTTCTTTCCAGGTAACATGTCTGTGGAAGACTTAATTCTGATAGAGTTATAGATATTACTGGAAACTAATTTGTTTTTTTCTATTATACTCTGCTTTATTGAAAAAGTAAAGCACTTAAATTGTGCTCCAGAAATTCAGATGTTGTCTTGCAATCTTTAAACAATAAATGGATGATTTCCCCTTAATGTGGCTTGATGTATTTTGTCTCATTATGTTAAGTATTACTGGCGAAACCTATGCTTGAATAGCTCAAAACAGCATGACCAGGAAGTGTTTCCTTACTTTAGGTGTGATGTTAAGAATTAACTTTGTGGGCTGGAGAGATAGCTCAGTGGTTAAGAGCACTGGCAGCTCTTCCAAAGGTCCTGAGTTCAATTCCCAGCAACCACATGGTGGCTCACAACCATCTGTAATGAGATCTGGTGCCCTCTTCTGGCATGCGGGCATATATGGAGGTAGAATGTTGTATACATAATAAATAAATAAATAAATAAATCTTTTTTTTTTAAAAAAAAATAACTTTGTTTTCTTTGCCAAGTCTGATGGGAGGATTGGAGATACTAAATAATACTTTAAGGGATCAGCAGAGCCCCAAATACCTGTATACACTTTTGTGTGTGGGTCATTCTTTGTTTACATTCCATTCTGGGGACTAAGCAGAGTGCCCTATGCATGTCAAGTACATAAATACTGAGCTACAGGTACAGCCCATATAATCTCATTTTTTAATATGGTACTTACAGTTTTTTTTCCCCTTCTCTCTGGACAATGGTTGAACTCAGTCACAAGTTTGGCTTCCAGTTTTTTCAGAGATAAAAGGGAAATGTTTGGGGTTGGAGATGTCTCAGTAGTTGAGAATTTTGGGTGCACTTTCCAGAGGCTTCAGGTTCGATTCCCAACACCTACTTGGTAATCTGTAACTCTCTGTTCCAGGGGATCCGATATCCTCTTTTGGCCTTCTTGGGTACCAGGTATGCATGTGGTGCACAGATGGATATACATACAGGCAAAACACTTAAAAATTAAATATATATATATATATATATATATATATATATATATATATATTAACATGGTGCATAGACATACATGCAGGCAAAACCCGTACACATAAGATACTTTAACTGTTCAAATAATATTAAGTAAATTTTCATATAATTAACAATCTTATTGTACCTCCAAAGCCCTAATGAGACTTATGTTTGTTGGAATCTGGATACTTTGGGTCATAATGATTAATAGTATTAGAGTGTGTGTTCTGACTCAGAGCTGTAAATCCTAGCACTGGTAGGCTGAGACAGAATTGGTAGGCACTAGAGATTCAAGGGCATCCCAGGCTATCTAGTGAAGCCCTGTCTCAAACAAAAAAGATGGTATGGGAAAAAGGTTGGCCTCACCACTCTGTAGTGTGGGATGAAGTCAACTAGTCGTAAGTCTGTCTTTCACCCTCATTGTTAAGATTGTTTCATTTATCTCCTTCGGTGGCTCCTGCATTCAGTCTAAATTCCTTGAACAGACTAAATAAATTTGTGTAATTGCTGAACAGCCTGAATTTTAACTTCTTTTGCAGTTTTAGAGAGGATTTTCTGTAGCCAAGGCTAGCCTTGAACTTCAGGTTTTACTGCTTTTGCTTCCCGGGTGCTGATGTTAAAGAGATTATAAGCATGTGCCTTCTTATCCTACTGGTATTTTGTATTTGACAAGATATCACTAAGTACTGACTGGCTTCAAATTTGTCTTCACATTTATCCTTTTGCCTCAGCTTCCTGATCTGGAATTACAGGTATGTGTCTTTGTCTTTGGCTGAACTGTTTGAAGGTTTAATTTGAATTCTAACTTTTATTTGAAGCTTTTTGTTGTTGAGGTAATTTCACAACATTTCTCAGGCTGGCCTTGAACCTCTCCTCCCCTTCTCAAGTGCTGGGAGTATAGCGTATATAGACACTCTTGGCTTATGTTTCTTATACCTACCATTTAGATTCTTGACCTATACTTCTAATCCACATCGTTAAGCAATCTTCATTTTTGTGGAGGAGAGTTACTATTATTCTTACTGTTTTTCCGTTCAAGGAGCCTGCTTGTTTGTATTCATTTACTCATCTACCTAGTATCTATCTATCTATCTATCTATCTATCTATCTATCTATCTATCTATCGTGCACTTTGGAACTAACTAGAGCTATTACAATTGCGTTCTAGCTATGCCACTTTCTAGTTGTTTAGCCTCTTAAAATGAGAGTGTTAACATTGCATTTTAATATTTCTTTTTAGGTCTTGTATGGGTACTTTGCTTGTATGTTCGTGAGGTGACAGAGCCCAGAAGAGGGTGTTGAATCTCCTGGAATTGGAGTTACAGATGATTGCATGCCGCCATGCCAGTGCTGGGAATTGAACCTGGGTCCTCTGGAAGAGCAGCCAGTGCTCTTAACAGTTAAGCCACCTCTCCAGCCCCATATTTTTATTTTTAAAAATTTGGGTGTGTAATATATGTTTGTTTCTGTATGGATGTCAGTTGTTTCTCTCTCTGGGATGCTCCATCTTATTTCTAGTTCACTATTTCCATCTTCCATCCCTTACTTACCTGGCCCTATCTCCAGCCCTGAGATTAAAGAGACACCTGTACTCTATGTTCATGCTGATCCAGCATGCATTTTGCTTACTGGACCATCTTCCTGGACCCTAACGTTGAATTTTTAATTATTTAGAGACAATAGTTTCCTTTTGTTGTTTAGGTACGCTCATGGGTTCCCCAAAGTGTTCTTCGGTCTCACTTCCTGAGTAGCTGCGACGAGGGTGTGGCATGCCAGTGTCTAGGAGGCTTATGTACACATTTTTTTTAGATTTTAATTTTTTATATTTATAATTTCTTTTACATGTATGAGGTTTTGCTTGCCTGTATGTCAGTGCACTATGTGTGCACTGGTGCCTGAGGAGGTCAGAAGAGAGCCTTAAATTCTCTGGAATTGGAGTTAATGGGTGGTTGTGAGCCGCTGTACTGGTGCTAGGAATTAAACCCAGATCCTCTGCAAGAATAGTGCTCTTAACCACCGAAGCAACCATCTCTCCAGCCCTTTTCAGGACATGGTATCACTATATGGCTGTTCTGGATCTCACTCTGTAGACCAGGCTGTCTTTGAACTCAACAGAGATCTGACTGCCTCTGCTTCCCTTGGGCTGGGATTAAAGGTGTGCACCACTGTACCTGGCCCCTTCGTGTTTGATTTTTTTTGTTTGATTTTTTTTTGTTTGTTGTTTGCTTTATTTATTTTATTTTCAAGATAGGATTTCTCTGTGTAGCTTTGGAGCACTTGTTTTTCTTGTTGCGTTTTGAATGGGTACTGAAAAGCTTAAAGTAACCGTACTCCATTTTTTTTTCTCCAGGGTCTGACAATTCTGGATGCCAGCACCACAGATCTCTGTTGCTAGATGTTTTTGTTTTGCGTTGCTCCCTCTTACTTTTATTGAGGGGACTAGATGGTCCTTTCTGCCAGCCAGCGCTCAGAGTAGTTGGAAGACCAACCAGGTAGATAAACGTTTAAAAGATTTGGGCAACCCGGTAGTGGTGGCGCATTTAATCCCAGCATTCGGGAGGCGGA